AAATCGGTGGGTGGTTATTACAATGGCCAGTTCTAGTATCCTATAATGTTATCCAATTAACAGTTCACTTGCCGAGAAATTAAACTCAATGTTGTGAGCGGAATTTTAATCTCTGAGCTGCACAAAATTTACGACTTGACCTGGTTTATGGCGGGGCATGTCAAGCAGATTGTGAAAGTTTCACGTCAATATGAACTATCTACTATGTTTCAAAGTCGCCGTAAGGTACTTCTGCTATTCGAAAATATTTTTAATGCGATCAAAAATATTTGTTCAGCAAGCTAACTTATTTATTCTGATATTTTCGCATAACAATGTTTATTTGTCCTGGCTTATATGTGACATTTTGTTGCCATTGCAACTGCCATTTGTGCGTTATATACGATTGTAATCCGCTCAACAACAGTCAATTGTCACTTGTTCCCCCAAACAATGATAAAGTCGCAAAAAGGAAAGAACTTTTACGCTTTTTTTAATGCAATGTCAAGAGCGAGAAGCTACAATGTTTTTGCCTAGTCCTGCAATTACACTTGTTCTAGTTTTTTATGCATTTTTCACCGACATTCTGTTGACTGGAAAACAAAGTAGGACTCTAATTAAGCATTTTATATAAGCAACTTGCTAAGGTAAAGAATTGCACATTTTCATACTTAATGAAGATTGTGTATTTGCAGTTGGCAGCAATTTCACAACCTCAAAATATTATTTCTTGCACGGTAGTCGTCTCTTTCATTCAAATTGGAATTCTAAGATAAAGGATTTTGCCTCGAAGCTTAAAATGTAATGTTCTTTTGGACAAAGTATTTTGTACTTACAACTGTGATTTGACTTTCGCTTTGCTCAAGCCAAATAAGCTTGATTGGGTTATAAAAATCGTGTGAAGTCTGTTAAGTCTTTTAAGTTTTTTAATCACATTAAAAACAAATGAATTTACCTAAAATTAAGAATCATATAATTTTTTTGCTTGTGTACATATAAGTTTCTAAGTTAATTGATTTTAAATTAATCGTATACAAGTTTTTAGGTAAATGTTATTAAAAACTCACATCGAAATATATAAAATTTTTTGTGTAATTATAATATTTTAAAACTTTCCAAAAGCAATATTGTGTTATTTTATTATGATCGTTATCCTGTCGAAGATATTGTTTTATGTTTTGTATGGTATATTAAAAAAAAAAAAACAAATTTAGTTCCAAATTCCCAAGGTTTTTAAGTTAATTTCACTCCCACGCGATGCAAAAAAATTTATTGAAAATTAAAAACTAGGGCTTCGTAATTACTAGGTACATTTATATTTTTAAAATGATCCAGTGATGCTGTATTACCCACAACCTACAATTATTTCGAAAAGGTTTAAGTGTTTTTAAGATACTTAAGAGTAGGACTTGTTTTTGAGTTTAAAACCCGACCCTCCCTAAGGAACATAAGCTTGTTATCCTAAGAGGGCCTTTTTATTTACCTGAAATGCAATCATGGCCCATAATATGTCAGCATGGCAAAATTTATGCGTCCGATAAGTGTGCCATTCTCAATATTTACCGAACTCGTGTGCGCCCAAGTAAACGCGATTGGGGAAATATTTGGCTGTTGTCGCCATGCTAACATAAATTAAGTTGCAGGAAATCTACGTAATTTACGCACGAGCATTTTAGTCTTGACTATGTGGGCGATATTCCTGTGCCTTGCCATAAGTTGTTTATTTTGCGGCTAATGTAATTTTTGGCAAATAATCATCTAATTTGTTTGCCGTTGCCTGTCTTCCTCGGCGCGTATGCATTTAATTTATGGCCTAACTCGGTTGGCAAATGATTTGCATGTGAATGCGGGAAATGCCTGAAAAACCATAGACAAATAAGGCACTGAAAGATAATTTGATTCCTTCAATAGGTTTATGTATAACGCTTAGATATTATTTAATTTAAGGTACTTAATTAATAAAATGCATTTCATTTTTGGGTGCCAAAGGCTTTAAAAATATTATATTGGTTATATTATTTTGAACGAATAATTTAATATAATAAACAAATATATATAGCCCAAAAATAAATTGGATACAAAAATAAGAGATAATTAAATAAACAATTAGTATCAATAAAATGTTCAGTTTAAATATATATTTAATACCAAGAAAATAATTAAAAAAATTAAACAAATAAATATTAATTAAATATTTATTCGCCGCAGACTTAATGGAATTTTTAAATAAAGATTTCATATTAATAGAAATTTCTGTTTAGGTCACAAAATGTTTTTATTGTGCAAAGCTGACAGTTCTAAACGGCTTAAGCTCTTAAATGGCAAGCGGGTGTCAAACACCCATAAACCGACAAATTAAATTTTCTGCCGACTTTAAAGACTTAACCCTTTTAGGATCGGCAGGAGATGAGAACCATTATGAGCACCCAAGGCCCAACTCGTGGAAATGTGACAGACTTACTCTGGGTGACACATGACAAAGGTGGCCTTTTGAATCAAGGTCCTCGTATCCAACTCGCTGACCACAAAAGCGGCGGTCCCACTCACAAATGCAATTCCGGCCTAGATTTATAGCACTCGCTTGCTGTGTGCCGGAATATGAGAAAACCGCCTGGTAGTTGAACCAAAAAGAGGAAAAGCTCAGCACGCAATTGGCCCAAACGTGCGACTCGGCACCAAAAGTTCAGTACGTGGCCCCATCTGACGCACTATCTTCAGCTGAAATTAAGGACGACTTTGCCATTGAAGTGCTGGCCCGGGGGCCAGGAATAAGATGCTTAAACACTTTTGAGCATCAACCGGCTCATAGATCATGCAAATCATCTCGCAAATAAGAAGCTCGTAATGCCAAAAGCGACACAAACAATTTAATAAAATCAAGCTTAAAGGAAATTTACATGCTTCACAGCGCTCGCAGATATTTCACCCGCCAATCCGCAGACTTCTTAGAAATGTCTTCTTTGTCTGGTGCAGAGTTCATAGTGAAATTTTCTTTTTGCATGCCATACACGACTTTCGGGTTGTTTTTTATATTTTTCTTTCCCTTCTTAGACGTCTGTGCCTCGGTTGGCTCGTTTAACTTCTGAGCAAAGTTCGTCTGCCGACATAGTTTCTTTAACCTTGTCCTTCAACCGTGCTGCTCTTCAAATCGAATTTGTCTTTACAATGCCGTTGGTCTAAAAACAAATGGTAATAAGCTCGAGTCTTTGACCGTTTATGTCCAGCACACAAACATATTATGCAAATGCTTAAGGCCTGGCTATGAACTTGGACAAGATTTAGATTTAAAATGGTTAAAGTAATCAAGGGTGAGCCGTTTTCATTGAACACTCCGAAAAATATGTCTCATCTAAAAAGCTCGTGAGCGTAGATCACTTCAAAAACATGCAATCACAAAAAATTTTAAAATTTTTGCTATATGATAACATAACACTTTTGTACTTTTGACATCAAAATACAACATCCAGTATGGTAAATAATTTAATATATTGAGATTTTCAATATGGATTTTTCAAAATGAGAAAACTTTTATTTGGACAGGGGTTTGCAATGCGCAAGATTGAATTATAAGTGGTATTTAAATTCTTACGAAATTTTGTTTCGATTTAGGTACTGTTTTACTGCTTACAATATTAACATTTGATTTAACAAATTTCTCTGATTGTATTCTCGCTAATATGCAGATGTTTTAAAACCCACTTCGTTATTCAAATGGGAATCAAGTGAACCCCAGCCATATGCAAATACCCAAAGTCTGGCGAACGACAATGAAATCTTATTAAAGGCCACGCCAATCTGCATCCACCTCTCAACTTATCTCCGCCCCCTAACTTACAACTTTCAACGAACCGAATTTAAATCATACAAAGAAGAAATATTACACCTGCGGCGAAAATTTCATTTTTGGCCCACCTTCGAGCTGGAATCAAACATAAATTTCGGGCAAAGGAGGAAATAAAAAAGCAATCACAAGAGTCAGAGTGCGGAGGAAAAGTTGAACTAAAATATGATCAAAATTTGAATAAATTTCTGAACGATTATAGGTGGCCGAAATGGAGCTGTATAAATGCAAATATGCGTGTAATCAGCTTATTTACGAATGTTTATTTTATCAAGGGCCTGTAGCCCGACAATGGTATTCAATTTGTAAATTATACTTTCCCAGTCGTGGTCAAACGGAGAAAAGTTGTGAGAAAACTAAGCACAGCACTTGAATTTGACACCGGTTAACAAATTTAAGTCGATGAAATCTTTTAAATATCAAACCTTGATTTTTCGGAACAGATGGTCTCCTTGATTCAAAAAATGTCACTCAAACTTTTTTGTATGCTACCTTTTTTTAAGTTTAAATAAAGTTTTTACCTGTTTTTTTGTCAATTTTATTGTGTAATCTTTTGTATTAGAAATCCATCTGCACCGGAAAATCAAGGTTTGATCTCTGAAGGATTTTATCGAAATAAATTTGTAAGCCAGTGTAATATATAATTGGGTAAAAACTTGTCTGCTCTCGGCGGATGGCTTAATTTGCATATATTTTCACGAGTTTATTTGCAAGGAAAAACTGTGCCAACACCCACTTTTTCACTTTTTGTATTTTTTTTTATTCGGAAAAACCCGCTCCTGTCTTTCATTCTTCATATTTTTCGAGCCTTGCACCCTGCACTTCCACATGACGTATGCGCAATATCTTTGTTCCCTTTACCGCGAATTTCTTTTTTTTATTATTTTCAGCTTTGGGCAAAGTTATCTACCGTAAAAATATAACTTTTTCTTTCCGCTTCTTTTCTTTTCTCTTTTTTCTTGTTTCAAATGGTTGTTTGTTTATGGAATTTTCATTTGTCCCTTTTCAAACTTCCTTTTGGGATTTTCGTTGGGACATAAATCTTTTGCTAGTTTGCTGCGAATTGTATGTAAATACCACACAGCAGACTCGAAATTCTAGAAAAACTGTCAGCAATGCACATCGCACATCATGCGAAGTCGGACAAAAAACAGTGTCCCAGTAAATATAGAAAAGTACCTCACTGGAGTTTAGGTTTATTTAAGAAAATTGAAGAACATTCTGCTCATAAGTCCGCACTCTGTCTCATTCGATGATAGTCAACTCCATTATAACGCACTGTAGTCCAATAGTAAAGTACGTCTCCTTTTTTAAGCTTTGCATCTCGGTTAGTGTACGTCCAGCGCCCTTTTTGGTCCGTTCGAATTATATCCGCTGCCCAAGTTTGATCCTGCAGATCGACAATGGGAGTGTTGAGTCTGCCGTGAAATGCGAATAGTGAAATTCCCTTTTCATCGGGTATAGATACTTCAAAGCCAATTTTCTCAGGCCGTGCGATCCGGGCCACTGGCACTTGATAGCCCGACATTGTCTTTTCAACTGCACGTCAACCGCACAACTCTGACTTGTATGGACTTTATCAGTGCAAATAAAATTGCAAAGGGGCAATACTCTATTGATAAGATAAAATGAAACAGAAAGGAAGGCAAGCCCAAGTTGCTATCATAAATTTATAATCCATACCAAATTTATAACACCTTGTCATTTAATAATACAAATGTAATTAATATAAGATATAAATATATATTTACTATACATATTGAAGATAATTTTGAAACAAATAATTTGTAAAAGTTTTTCCTTTTTTTAATGTTGCTTAACAATTATTTTTCGTGTACCATTTATGTCAAAGGTTTTATTAAATTCTCGGGTATATTATAGCAAGTAACTTTTTTGAGACACTCTACAATTGAGGGGCTACGAATTTTTGTTGGTTCTTTCCACTTCAGTTTTATTGTTTGCAGGCCTTTGTTGACCAATAGTTTCAGCAGTTAGTTGTTCTCTGAGGGCATTAATACAATTTATTGATTTTTCCACTGGAATTTCATTGTTTGCGATATATTGTTTACTATAAGCGTTTAGTCACAACCGAATGCACCCAAAAGGCCCAAGTAAATAAGCCTCCTGGATAATTGGAAAATATTGTCAGGCCATTCGGTTGCTGTTGACAGCATCTATCCCCTGTACTATTCCAGCCCGTCCAATCCCATCTCATCCCATCAGATCCAGTTCTTACCATCGCCACACTTGACTGCTGATTAATTAAGTAAAGCGAATCAAGCGAAAAGCAAGGAAATAGGTCAAGAAACGGGATCTGTTAATTAATTTTGCTTAGTGCATGTGTCGGCTCTGGCTTGGCTAATGGCGGCTGACTTCATTTTCGCTTTAAAGCTCAAATTGAAAAAGAATGGAAAGGGAATGGGACGCAGGAACAGCGACTGAACAAAAGCCACAATGGCCTCCCCCGATGCTTATGCTCATCTGATAGCCTTCATTATGGCCATTCCGGCTGTTGTTTTTATTGGAATCTCTTGTTGTGTGGCGCCACTCAAATGTTGCGTATGCGCCCCGTATGCTCTCTATGGTCAACAAAGACAGGGCATTTGTATAAAACTCATAAAAAAATGTTTGAACAGTCAGCCAAATTGGAGATTTAGCAAAAAAAAATCGCCCCCTTGCGAGTGGTACACGCTCCTGCCAGGGAAAAACTACATTTGCCGGCCATACACTATAAATAAGCGCCACATGCTCAACATTTTTATGCTGTTTTATTGCATTGCTCTAAAAGGCAAGCCCAGAATTGAAGCAAATAAAGCCCAAAAGTCTGTGTATCCGCACATATCGTGCTCGTCGACTGTGCTGCCAGAACCATATTATGTGCTACATTTAACGCCCACCGATAGCCGAACACTTTTGCTAGAGCCATCAGTGCTGCCAACAAAAGTTTAATCAACGAGGCTAAGACTAAGACAATAGAAATAGCTATTTAATATTATTATATTAAATATTATATACAAAATCAAAACTTAATCAACAGCTTTTAAAAGATAAAATACAAATAAATTGAAATTATATTTTCATTTGTAAGATTTTTGAAGTATGTTTATTTTTAAACTAATTTAATAAATATTTAGATATCAAAGGTTTCTAACTTAATGGTTTTCCATTTTATTATAACCTTATATTTAAATTAATAACAAATTGATTATTACGGTCCATTTATAAAATGTTATCCGCCCCAACACTTTTATAAACCACTAAAGAATTTAAGTTTCTTATAAAATAATATCACTGTTGACGAACTTTCAGTTACCAAGACAATAATGGCGAAAGCTGAGCAAGCAGAGCTGCGTATGGTGTCAGTCTTGTTTGATGCTTTCCACTCTTAAATTCCCACTCAAGCCCAAAAACAAACCAAGACTGCTGACTTTCACCATTGTAAATGCAATAAAATTAAAGTTGTTTTCTGTGCGGTGCCCTAAGCCTTTCTTTTTCCCATTTGCCTTAGCTGAAAATGGTACCTGCGGTTAGTGTTTTAGCCTCCCTCTTAGCTTTTTTTTGTTGTCCTATTTTGTGCCCCCTTTTTTCGCCCTGCTGCAAATCGATGAGCAGTCGTAAAATTCTCCCAAATTTATTGCATACTTTTGTGCGTGCAAATTGCGTGCGGAATGCTCGAATACTCGAATGTGTAAGCGCCTTGGAACTTTTACGAACTTTTGATTGGCTATCGAGCATCTTAAAGTTTAATATCAAAAGGCGTAAATTTTATTAAGAAAATCATTAAATTGTTTAGCGAAGTGTGTGCTTGTGTGATTTAGTTTCATGGGAAATGTTAAATTTAGTAATTTACAAAGAAAACAATTATAACTTTAAATCATTTTAATATCTCCGTTACGCATAAACAGTCGGAGCATTTAATTAAGTTTTGAATTAAAACCAAACATTCAACACAATTAAATTACATTGCTTTATATGCTCGCAGTTATTGAATCAGGCTTGGTAATAAAAATAAAAAACCTCCGCTGTGCAACCACATCAAATTAAATGGTCTGGCCACAAAGTAACATCTAGAACGGCAGACAAACAATGGCCAGAAGAAACCACTTAAAGACCGGCCAAATGGCCAAGTGGACACGACCAGGAAAACTGCAACATCAGCTTCGTGAAGCAGGTGGGGGGAAACCTGAAGAACAGCAGCCCTCGACACTGGAGTTTAAGTCAATCGAGGCATTAAAAATGTGCAATGGAAAAGTGTAAGATTTCCTCTTCACAACCCAGCAGGTCTTATTCAGACAGAACACAACTTTTACCCAAGTATTTCCAGCCAGATGGGCATTTATCAAGAAGTGGACGTATATTCAGGAGATGGATATTTTTTGAAGTGCTATTCAACACACGACCAACGATGGCAAGGGTCCTCGAACCCTTAACAAAATGATAAGAACTTGTATGAAGTGCCATACATGTGGGTAAAGTTTAATACCCTTTCAGAAAGTAACAGTTACCAGGCTCACATGCTTGCAACAAAGTAAGGAGTGATGGTTTTTGTCGGGCTTATCATTACTATTCTTAAGTTTAAAATTTTAGGAAAAAAAAAATTTTAAGAATGTATACTTATAACGGTAGTTTCAATCTTCCCAAATCCATTTTTTCACAGCTAAATATGAGAAAATAACATTTTGTTGGATTTTTTAAAGAAGTAAAGAAGTTGTCAAGGCAACCAATTTCAAGGGAAATGCAATATCTACTTATATTGGTTCCAACACTAAGGCCCAACTGCATTCTGCGCAAAAATATGCAAATTGAAGTAAATTAATATTCGGCTTAAGCTATTGACGTATTCCCAATAAATACTTTGGGTGGAATTATTGCACAGCTGCTATAGAAAAACCCAGGTACGTGCCTCTGCCAGGACTGAAAATTCCAGGAACCATGGGTGAAAAAGCAATATCATCGACCGCGAGTATGCGCCACCCGCAATGTCACTAATGGCGAGATTTGCTGGCGCAGTAAAATCGGCAGGAGATCTCTTTTGAATATACCATGACAAATTCTCCCGTACCATGGTAAATGCAAATATTTGCCATGTTTCGACGACTTGTTGGGCGTAACTCTCGGCATCCCGTGATTGGAATTCGCGGCATGGAGGGCTGAAATCACGCAGTTTGCATACGCTATTGAATTTTAAATGAAGATCCCCGAAGCGACTGGCGGAGACAATGACATGTTTATTAAAACTGCAAGGGGAGCTGCCGGGCCGAGCGGAGCCAAGCCAAGCGAAACAAGGCAAAGGCGAAGTACTTGTAGCAAGGCCAAAGCACTCCTCTTGGCCCACGGACCACGCCCACCTTTTTTGGCCGAAATAATTGGTGACGTGTGTGCACGTCGTTGTCGCGGTCGTTGGCACCGCCTGCACATCGACAGCTTATAAAATTTTTACCGGAATGCCACGGGCACGCCTGCATCTAATAAACCTTAATGGCCGCCACACTCAGCAGAAGTGCGCATCTCGAAACAGGATCCCAAAATTAACGGCACTCACAAGCCCCCACCACTTTGGCGACAAAAAAGTTTGCACAATATCCCGAATTTATTAAAAATAATATGTTTGCCAATACTCAGAAATTCTGAAAGCATGTATCTTTGAAGCACAAAGACTTGAGTATGGCTATGGTACATAAAATTAAGTTAAATTCTAATTCCGTTTAAAATTTTAAATAAAATATAAATTAACACCACAATAACGAAAACAAATATATGTTTATAATGGTTTACTTGGTATTTTCATTATATATTATCTATTTTGTTTGTAATTTACGTAATATAAAAAGCCGTTTTATATTAATACTCTCATTAAAATAAATAGAAGGAATAATAATACATATAAAATTACTAAACAAGTTAATATACTTCAAGTAAACATAATAACTTAATACTAAATATATACCAAAAATTTTTATGAATTAAAAATATTAAAAAATTTTGGATAAGCAATTTCAATAGAAATTTAAATTTAAATTAATATTTATAACAGTTCGAAATGAAAAATTCCTTCGATCTTAGAAAACGATTTCTAGAGTCCAGCAATAAACAAATCGAGCTTGTTCGTTGTACCCAAGCATTTGTAGAGTATTATCTAACAGCTTATGCAAATGAAAGTAAAATCAACTGTTCCCGTGAAAGTTTCCTGCTAGAAAACGTCGCACGGCAAGGAGCCTGAAAATGGTTTGACTTTTGCATACGGAATGATTGGCTGACAATGATGTGCAGCCCTGCTGGTCGCTGTTTCACACGTAAAAGCCATAAATGAGGCACTCCTGGCACCGAGGTGAGAACGGGCCGCAGCCTGGGAAAGTTTCTGGCTGCATCCTTTAGCAAGTTTCAGGGGCAGCAGCTGCAAGTTTGTTTCAGCACTCCATGCAAATGCGTTGGCGCCAAAAAAGTTGCTGCACTAATAGAAAGGGCGGAAAAAGTTGGATATATGGCCAGGATAATGTGAGTGGGCCCCTGCAGAGTGCCGATGGCTTGGCTTTGTTTGGACAGCATTGCATGAATGGCAAAACGGCGACCAGCTGCACCTAGAGTGCGAAAAGTTTCATAAAATATTTGTAATGAGCTGGCTTTTATGTGCATTTCATTCGGCGAACATAGATGATAAGCCTTGAAATTGCAAGGGCATATAATGGACATAATACGACTGCTGGGACTCGGATAAAATTTTACATTTTTATTCTCACATACAGTCATGTTCTTCTGGCTTATGAATTTTTGATCCAATTATCCCGAGGGACATAACGTCACCCAAATTGCAGTATTTTTCAGCTCAGTTTACGTCCCAAATAAAGAACACAGAATACAATGTTGCAATAATTTAAAACTGAAAACTGAAACTTCTGCCCAGTCAATTGCCGCTTGGTTCAACCAGCGCAATTTAAGCACGCACGTAAAAGCAAACAATTTTCCCCCTCTTTGAACTCAACTGAATGCTTTCTTTCCCGAAGAGAGACAACAGAATTTTAAAAATAATTCGAATAATTGCTTACCCACCAACTGAAATTGTAGCTCATTGTTTGCTGTCCGAAACAGGCGCATCGAAATTATTTACCACCAAATTGACAGCTTTAATGAATTGATCGATGCTATTTACCCATTGTTTCACTAAATCTCTAATTGAGCGCTTAGGCAAATGGACGTTGAAAAAATGACAAATGGAGAGATAGGCTCAGTTGCCCACAATAATTTGAAAAATTCACCCATTTAGTCGACTGATAATTGAATTTAAAATAAGTTTACAAATGTGTAGTTTACTGATGCAGTATTTCGGCTATTCGAACTAAATGGTTTCATTTGGCCATATTTTATGGTGAGGCGATAACATCAGCAACAACTACTAAATCAATAGCAATAATTCTGGCTAGCGCCCATAAATATCTTGCCACAATATATATATATATAGAATTCGATATTCCTTTTTTTTCGGCCATTTTATCGGCCCACATACACACACACGTGTTGGCTATAAATCTAGCTGCGGTTGCCTTTTTTTTTGACGCTTTATTAAGTGGTTGGCCTATCACATAGACTTGTGTGTTTTTGGTTCAACTGAAAAAATGTATTTGTACCATTTTTTTTGCGCTTTTTTCGGGCTGGCTTAATTGTTTTCCCCAAAGGCAGTCAGCAAACTGCGATTAGTTTTTAAGCGGAAGTTACACAAGTCTAAAAACAAAGAGTAAAGGATGTTGAACAAAGTAATTACTCAGACTTAGCAAAAGTTAGCTAACTACTTTATTAGCTAGTTCTCTTAAATTTAAGAATGTCTTTAAACTTATGCCTACCTTTGAATGTTATTTATTAATGCACTTTTTCACGTACATTTACGTTTTATACATTTTTTTCCAATCAACTTCTTCTTTTTGAAGTATTTTTTGTTAAGTCACAAAAACTTTTTGTTTTTCGTCAATCACTTTAAATCTCAATATGGTTAAAGCGGCGCAATATTTGTTTAATCGGTTTTTATATTTTTTGTCAAAATATTTCAATTAACCATCAGTGTGGCAATTTAATTTTAAATCGGATTTTTTCATGCGCCAAGCAAAATCCTCTTTGGATGACAGCCGGCCACAGAAATGCAAACAATACATTAAATCTTCAACTGAACAAACTCGTATTTTTTCGTAACACTTTCGCCGGCGCACTGGCGCAGATACGTCCTTGGGCAGCGGGCGGAATTCGCACACTAAGCCAGGAGCCGAAGTGCCGAAGCCGCTAACATTCTGGCCAAAACAGAGGGACATTTTAGCAGAGATGCTGCGCAGATGAAATCGAAAGCCAAGCAACACGTGCTGCGTTAACAGCGAATGCGTTCAGCCTTCACTTTCGGTCTCTTAAATGGCGGGACAGTCTCCCTTAAGTCTGTGTATGTTATCAAGCAAATTTATTTATTAAACCGAATATATTTTATTAAATCTGCCAAGCGCTCTTTATGGCCCACGCAAGGATCCAGCGCCCCTATGATGCAGTCGCTCATAAATTTATGTCAAACAGGGCCAAGGTTGCCACTTTCCAGGGGGGCGGAAGCCACAGGTGTGACAGCAGCAAATTAAGTTGCACATATAACTCACAACTCAGAAGGCATCGCCTTCAAGGAAATTGCCTCGGCTGGTTGTGCCCTGGAAAGTTGTCTCACACAAAATATAATGTGTACGACCCATGTCATGTATTTTACAATTGTTGCCAACTCCGTTTGTCATTACAGCAAATGACTCTGGCAGCCACCAGAAAATAAAAAATAACACGAGGCAAAACAAGAAACTCGCATAAATTACCCTGGCAAACAGCTGCCTCGAAAATTGGGTAGAGCATTGTGTTGACCATTGTCTTAATCCGCTTAAATTATGGCATTCTTAGACGGGCGAAAGTGTCAACGACTTGGCCAACAGTTCAGCGTTCGAACATAACTCGAGATAATTCGGTTATGACGGGGCCAACGAACGTGTTAACCATATATGACCCAAAAGTCGAACACAATATCGGAGTCAATGCCAGAAAACTTTTTTTTTTCTGGGGCACAGACAGACGGCACAAATATACGATTATTGTCATACACACACTCCGAGGAGCAGGATAAAACGACATCTTAATTTGATTCGACAAGTGGCCAAGGCCATGTCGGGATCAGGTTGGTCGTCAAAAGGTTAACGCCTTGCACTGTAAGTTTAAAGAAGTCCCACACGACAATTGACCCCTCCTCCAAATAATAATTAAATTACACAATTACTCAAGTGATTCTTAGTGACAAATGACATCTGTCAGCCACACCTTCGCCACCCTAAAACAATTGTTGTATTAGACAACATTAGCACATTCTTAACTGTAATTCAATTTGCATCAATTAAACCCTTTCTATACAGTGTTTTAATTGCTAAAAGTAAATAAAATTTAAACGTTTGATATCATAGAACGAATTAACAAGAGAACAAAAGTAAACTTCAAAAACAAACAACGTCAACTCTTGTCCTCCATTGTTGCTTGATAAAACTTTACTTTTTCGCTGTGGGTTTTATTGCATATTTTTTTTGTGATATTTTTGTTTCAAATTTGTTGCAATTTCAACATTCTTGCCTATGTTCCATTCGGCTTTTGTAAAGATAATCAACATTTTTCGAACCAAGGATATGAAAACCAAATGCAGGAAGATTTACTCAACTGTATGAAAAACTTTCAGCTATGGGAATTTTACACGCAAGATTTGCAAGCTGCAACCAGGTTATTGAATTAGGAAACATGAAACTATTCGAATGGCATAACTTCATAAAAAGTTTTGGGTATTGAACTAGAGTGCCTTACACGTAAATTTGTTTCTGCAGAATTGAATTAAGCTTATCTTCCAGACTTATACTTGGGAAAATTAAAAAACTTAAATTATTTCTGGCTTTAGATTTCTTCAATCCGTTAAGTTTTTGATTTTGAATTAATACTTGTACTATTCTAACTTACGAGTGCCTTTTCTAATTGCTCTGTGCTGCATATGTCAACATTCTTCATTTCTACTTGTTTGCCTTTCAGTTTCAGCAATACAAGGTTACAAAAGCAGGGCGACAGTAAACCAAATTCAGAATGATTTATTGGGCTGCAATGAACATATTTTTGTTACAAAATTCTTCACGCACAATTTCCCAGGTGCAAACTGGGAGTTTGAAATCGGAAATTATGTTTTTGCCTTTGTTAACAAATATTGGGTAAAGGGATTCATGCCTTGTGCAGAAAATGTATTCGACAATATTTTGTATTTTTGGTATTCTTAGGAAATGCATTTATATATAAGTATCTTAAAGCCGAGATCCAAATGTAAATTTAAGGAAAATTAAACAACATAAAGGGAATATTTAAAAAACTAGCAATGTTTTAGAAACAGTATTTCATCGTCTTCCTTCAAGCTGTCTTAAGACAGTATTTAGCATACTTTTCATTGTCAAATGGAAAGATTAAAGTAAGTTTCAAGCTTAAAATCTTCTCTTACCTTACCGTCAGCCAACAGAACTGCGCCAAAAGGTAATGACATAATGAGCTCACTAACCATTGCCAATTTCGGCTTGCTTTTGGATTCCGTAGTGTACTCGCTCGCCTGCAGTGGAGTGCATTGGATCGCGAATGCTGAGAGCAATCGAGCTGTCCCAGCCAAAGGCAGCACATTGAGGTGTTGGGAGTCAAATAGCACCTGCCGAGCCAGAAAATTGCAGAGCAGCAGTAAGCAGATGAAGGGGATGAGCCCATTCGCAGTTGACAACACGTTGACGTTGACTGCGCAAAATGCGCATACGCCGTGTGTGCCTAGGTAAGTGGCAGACGGTAATGCCATTAATCAAGTAGCTGGGCGAAAACTATGTCAAAGGATTTGTTAGGGGATTCGGCAAAAGAATGGAAAGCTGACAAGTGCTAGCTGACATCAAGTTTCGCGTTGGCTTTTTATCAAATCAGGACAAGATTTGATTAGGCCACCGAACGGGATGATAAATGATTGTCTGGCTGAATTGGCCAGCTGCTGATGTCCCCTGACAGCTTAATGCGTGTCGTCTGCCAAACGATTTGGAAAAATTGATTGTGTCCACACTCACAATCAATTGCCAAAAGGAAATTCGGCAGCCGAATGGCCAAGCCAATAAACAATTCCACAGCAACGCTTGGAATTGAAAGCGTTTTCGGGGGCGCCAGTCGAGAGCTGAAGGCAAGCAAACATGGGAATATAATTCAATCTTTCGGTTTTGCCAACAGCAAAAACTTGCAGCAACCGTTAGATAATGCAGATGGAAAAACAAAGCCGCTACCATTTCATTCCAGTCCAACGATTCTGGTTGCCAAGGCAATCTAGAAAAGCCTTTTGCATTCAATGTTTTTCCGCCGTTGCTAGCTAATATTTCCACCGTAATTTATATGATGACCAGCTTGGGGAAAAAATATCCAGCAAACAACATAAATAAGGCGACCAATGAAACTGTAAAGTGCCTTGTCACCACCGCTCAAGGGAGATCCCACAACTGGCCAGAGCCCACTCAAGTGACTCCGACACCTTTCAGCTCAAGTAATTAGCAATTTGTATGGCTTTTGGTTGGGGCCATTTATTACGCAAAGCGCTCACAAAATGCCCAACTGGGCCGTAAAAGTTCAACACCGTCTGAACACCTCAACGCTGTCCGCAATAGTGTGCTACGGCAGAATTTCTCCGCAGGTCGCTAACCGACGCCACCTAAGCATAATGAATGTTACCTAAGAATGATTTATATCAGTACGCAGCTCATAAATCTCTGGACCAGCAAGGAAATGCAATTAACCAGTTATTGGCAACGAATGGTAACTACCCTTGCCCAAGGTGATAAATGAGAAAAAATTTAAATATTTTAAATGCATACTGAACGCATAAAATAAGAAGTAAAGAAATTGAAGCGTCGAACTTAAAAATTAATATTAAAGTATTTTTTCTGAAATTTAAGGTTTTTAAATATCTTAAATTTCAGAAAGAACATATTTTATTTGTAAGTTATGGTTAAAGATGAGCTCCCACAATCCCTGGTGTTTTTTAATCACCTAAAAAAGTTCTCTAAAAGTATACAACAAATGAAGACTGATGAATTAAATACAACAAAAGTCTACTTTCCCATTTTCACTGCATACTTTTAGTCACTTAAATAACTATTTTGAAAACCAAAGTGATTTCTTTAGCACTCCAAATGTATTTTATGGTGTATGTTTTAAAGTACGGTATCAAAATTTAGTCAGACGAATCGTGAATATTTTGGTTCATGCGATATATCAGAGAGGTTATTGGAAATAATATTTTTGTGTTTACGTGTCTTTTATATTTATCTTCCCCAATGTTTATTCTGCCACAACAAAACGACGTGACCCAACGACCCGAAGCGAAGGACTCTGCTGATATACCTCACCTGGCGGAGAATTTCACATAATTACGGCTGCAAATGAAGGTGCGAAAGGTGGATCCCGACACTTTGACCTTTTGGCCACAATGTGCGCTCGTTAGTCAATGCTTAGCAATTTGTTATCAATCAATAATAAATGTAAATAACATAATAATAAAAACACTGGCTAGATGCGTGAGTCTCGTCCACTGACGATGATGAGGCATCTCAGGGCATCGGCTCAAATTGTCTATGTGGAAGCAAAAGGAATTTGGCCTAAATGAATTATGGCCCGCAAAAAAAAAAAAACAAAAGAAAAGAAATGAAAAGAAAAGTAAAGAAGTGTGAAAAGCGGCAATGGAGGCATGCGATATTGTATTTTTCCGACCCATCACGGCAGCTGTTTTCCAAATAGACAACGCCGCCAATTGAGCGAAAATCAATGGCCATCCAGTCAGTTCGCCAGGGTCTTATAAACACAAAGTTACAAAGATACAATGATAGGGCCGCCCAGAACCACCCACTCGGATCCAATCAGTCGATTCAAGTTACTAAGGGCGGCTGGTGGTTTTTGTCTTGTTTTTACAGCACTCCTTCACTGTAACCGATTTTGTTTTGTTTTTAGTTTCGCCCGCTGGTCATCCAGTGGGGATTCAGCTACCATTCCACACCTTAGAGCCACAAACACTGAAGACTAAAAACAGAAAACAGATACGAATGATGATGCTTGGCTATGTCCGGGGAATACGAGTTTTGCTGCAGCACCTGTTTGGTGAGTTCTCCTCGTGCCGTGAGCAAGTTCATCTTTTACTGGCTAATTATTCCATTTGTTTTGCAGCACCAAGTTTTTAGTCTTGCTGAGTTCCCTTTGCCCCAAGGATTCTGTGGCGTGACTGCACTATCAAGAAGTGCCGTAGCAAAAACTTCTGCCTGAATGGAGAACTGAGAACTCTACTCCTCCACGGTTGCGAACATATTGCATAGCACATGCAATTCTGTCAAAACAGCTGGCAAGTAACGCATGAGAAATGAGCAAATTAGTGGGCGAGTCACGGAAAACTTTTGTCCGGATTTTGGCTACAGATTAGCAGGAGAACACATTGTTATTCTTTGGGCCGCTTGTTTTCAAAGTAATTGTAAAACAAACTCAACGAGAATCCAGAAACCAAACCAATATATGTGCTTATTATACAGAGATTGGTTTAGAGGATACGAAAACCATTTCCTTTAAGTTACTTTTATTGAAAGCGGATACCACCGCTCCATATTATTTTTTGGAAATTTCATGATAATGTTTTAACATTGCCCCTGGCTCTTGTTCAGATACTAAATTTGACTGGCTGAAAAACAATAGCAATAAAATTCATTTACCAAAATATATTACGTTTGCCCTTCAAGCTAAACAAAGTTTTGATCAGTTAACAGATTGTTAAACAAACTAATAAATATAGCCAAACAAAAATGAAATTTGTTTTAATCTGATTTAGCCCCGGTCCTCTGTATTAAATTAATTAGCAAAGTTTTGGCCGCTTTTTCATCGTTGGTATAATTGGTATATAAATAATATGCAATGCTTTATTTTTTTTGGATATTGCATGTTAGTCGAATTTTAATTTACACGGTATTTTTATTTATATCTGATTTAACTGTCACCCTTTATTATACACAATTAAGTTTTTGTTTAAATTTAAATGGCTTCCACTTTTAGGAAAAGGCCATTTTCGGTGGCCAACAGAAAAGACTTCTTTGACAGAATCAAAGGAACTTCGGTGCGTTTCGACACGGAAAATTGAAAGCTGCGAAGCAGCGACACCAGACCAACTTTGGCCTGAACTTTGCCAAAACGCAGTCCAATGCAGTTGCGCGGACCATCGCCAAAGGGCAAATAGGCCATCGGATGGCGGGACTTGACTTCCTCCGGATCGAAACGACTGGGGTCGAACTTCTCCGGCTCGGGATATATCTCTGGGTCGTGGTGAATATTGTGTACGGGTATTAAGGCATTGACGCCGTTGTCGAGCACAATGTCTGTGTGGGGCACTTTGTAGTCCCGATTGCACTCTCTAATTAAATGGGGCAGCAGGGGGTGCTTCCGAAGGGTTTCTATGGGAAGATGTATTAGTCTTTAACTGAGAAGTTCAGATAAGCCCGTACTTACCAGCCACCACCTGGTCCAAGTACCTCATTTCTGCCAGAGCGTCGTAGTTAAGCTCTCCTCCTTCCACATTCCCCAGCACACTGGCAATCTCATCCCTCAAACGCTGCTGAATCGCAGGCTGCATGGCAAGTTCATACAGGCAGAAGGACATGGTGCTGGAAGAGGTTTCGAATCCGGCCACGAAGAACACAAAAGCCTGGGCGGCCATTTGTTCGAGGGTCAGTCCGTGGGACAGATCGATACCCTGACCCTTTTTAGCCGCTTCTTGGTCCTCCGCTCGCAGCTCTATAAGCTGATCGACGAAGTCGTTTCGCTTAATGCCATTTTTGAGGCGATAGTCCACCGTGCTCTTCACAGCCGACATAAAGAAATCGGTTATATCATCGGGAAACACCTTCAATCGCAACTTCTTGGCCAGCTTGGCATTGGTAAACAGAAATGCTTGCACTAACTGCGAATGACGACGCCGCACGAATATCTCACGGCCCTTGTTGCGAAACTCGGCATTGGGGTCCTGAAGGCTGTTGCACTCCAGTCCAAAGGCACAGGATCCAATGACATCAGTGGTGAACCGGGCACACAGGTCCTTGATCTCCACAATGCCGTCGACCATTTGGGCCTGTTGCACAGACTTTTCCATGGCCTGGGCCAGGCGATGGCCCACCTCGACAATCACGCCCGTCATGTGCTTCATTTTTCCGGAGGTGAACACAGGACTCAGTTTGTGCCGCATCGATCGCCACTCCTCGCCCTCCAAAGTGAAGAGGTGACCCGTCAGGGGATCGTCGCGGGGATTGTTGAAAACACCACGATCTTGAAAATAGCTGAAGTCCTTGATCAGCACCTGCTTGATGAGGTCCAGATCGGTGATCATGGCGGTTCGCTTGAAGAACATGTACATGCCCGCGAAGGAAGCCTTGCCCTTGAACTGATCGTAGATCCTCTGGTTGATGTCCCGAAAGTGGTACTTCGACCCGATCCCCTTCATGTTGCCAACCAGCGGCAATGGGCGTTCGAAGAGCACTCCTTTGCGTTCCCAATAGGTGTAGATATTGGTATAGAAACGATAGGCCAAGGCCAAGACCGCGCCCACAAGGGCGATTGTTAGCAACATTGCGAGCGATTACTTTATCATACACTGTTCTTGCTTAACTCTCAGAACATACTGATTATCTAGCCGCTGAGTTTGCCTTTTTATATGTTAATCGAGCCTTTACGAAATCTTATCACTCAGACAACATAAAAGATTGTAGTAACATTTATTTTTGAAACAACGCTAAACACTTATGACTTTAAATAGTATTAATAATTTGATATACAAATTGCTTAACTTAAGCGAAAACGGGTTTTAGGTTTGTTGAGCAATCGCAGTTGAACAATCAACACTAATGGAAAATCCTTTAATGGCTGACGAAATTTTAACGGATGGACGGGTAAGTGTTATCTGGTACCGACTTCACTGGATCACCGTGTAGTGAGAACTGAAACATTTGCATCCAAGCACGATGACTATACATTTCTGTCGAGCTTTCTAACACTTCTGAGGCTTTATCTCTCTCTCTCTCTCTCTCTCTTATAAAAATAATAGATCCCCACATCGAAATTTTAAATACTCATGTTTAGAACTCTCAGGCGTAAAAATGAATGAAATAACTTGTTGACTAGAAACCTCAATTCATCTACAATTTTTAGTCAATAAAATATTGGTGACTAATACTTAAAAGTAGTTTCCCAAGGAGGCTTTGTTAATCATTTAAGTTATGAGCTGCTCAACCCGCAATATATATACATAGGTATAACTTATTTCTTATAGCTCTATATATAATAATTATAAAATAATAATTACACACTTTAAACTTAATAGACCTGATTAAAAAAAGTGAAGCCTTAGAATATATAAAACAAAAACATCAGGTCGATTGAACAGCATAAACAACAACTTATGAAAGATCTTAAAGTAGAACTGAAAATGTTATTAATAAATCTGATTCTTTATGTATTGTTTTTCATATTCCTGTCTAATTATTCCACCTAAAATCCGCAAATCGATCAAATTCAGCATAAAAACGACATAAATTTATAATAACCATAATTTCTTTAGGAACTGCTTGATTATTTAATTTCAGCTTCGGTTTCGATTTTTGTTAGCCACGCTGTGAGTTTTATGGGTCTGGCTGTTTTTACTGCGGCATTACGATTTTTATGTCGATTGGAAGATGGCACATTAGCGGCATAAAACGGGCCGTAAGCATTAGGCCCAAATCCTTTAAGCACAAAAAACAGCACACACGCCCGCACCCAGCGTCACAAAATGCTTTTAGGCGCGACTCCGTTTTATTATTTACTGAGAAGCCGCAGATAGAGGTCCTTTGGGGTGGAATAAAGGCGGCTTGAACACTCTAAAGCAGCCACAAACACGCTGTCCAGCTGGAATACCGTTTAATGGGTCTTAAATCGCTTTCGCATAAATTTTTGCCGCGATTTTGTATTAAGTCTGGGAATTTGAAGAAGCCAGTGGCTCGATTTTATGTTAGTTTCATTAAGTTTACGCATGATTTTTGCACATTTGCCGCGTTTGATTAAAACTGAGATGCAATGGCCAATAGGCATCACAGAAGTCGTCTTACAAAGCATCAACAGTCTGTCAACAAAGTCGTCTTGTTTACTGTTTACTGTTTACACTCGTGCTCACATTTCAATTAAAAGGGTAAATAGTCAAGGAGTCTATTGAAAAAGTGTCCTCAGAAGGAGCTAAGACTAAGCAATCAAAACTCCCCTGGCAACTGAAAAAGATTTGCGGGCTAAAAGAGAATCAAGAAGACCAGGTAAGGAGAAGGAATTGCAAATACCATTCCCAACAATATTCTATATAAAATTGAATTATTCATTGCAATATTTTTGTTTTTTGGTGATAGCAAGTACAGCAATTAAAATTGCCAACTGATATTGCTTGGCCCTCTTCAGCATTACAAAGCGTTTGTTTGACGCTTTTCTTATCATTTCTGTTGTGACAATCACGTCTATGTACAAAAGGTATAAACACTGTGAGACATTCAAATGAGTAGCTTTGGGTATATTTAATTTACATTTATTTTCTTGATTTTTTCCTTTTAAAAAAGTAATGAAATTCTTTACAATGAAAGTGCCATTCATTCGGTTGTTGATTACGATGCTTTAAAAATATTATAACAAAATATTTAATTTGTCTTATATGCATAAAATCTAAATTTTACAAATTTTGTAAATATTAATCCATAAAGTTTCTGGTTATAAGTTACTTATTATGTTACTAAGTATGTAACTTTAAAAACAAACATTAAACGAAACAAATATAATATTTTGTTTTAAATTGGAAAACACTATTTTTAGGAACGCCGCTGTATATAAATTACTTTATCAGCTCTTTTTGCGATTACGAGTACAACATTATGCCGGCTCTCTGTGTCTCTCTTCATCATTACAAAGCACTTTCCCAGTTCGTGAATAATTAATTTGTTTACTGCTTTATCAATTAGTTTTGTTTTGATCATTTTGCCGAGAGAGAAGCAAACACAACAGAAAAAAAAGCTTTGACAAGAAAAAAACTTATGTTTACCTATAAGTTTTGTTATTATTGCTTTATCAAAGGAGAATGCTACAGATGATTAAACATATGACCCAAAGCTTAGCCAATAGAGAAATATATATAGAAGCTTTTCTCTAATTTGTATATACCTCTTGCTTTGGCAAACACTTTTTAGTTCTCAATGTGCGTTGCACAAATTAAGTCGATTAGCACTTCTTACCTACAAATTCGCATTTAAGATGCAGAATTGTTTTTAAAAACTAGTGTATTCACAATTAAAACTGAACTGATCGCCATGCTGTTAACACTAGCATTATTGGGCGTGGCCCTTTTTTTGGCCTACAGTTTCTACCACAATTCGTACACCTATTGGGCCCGAAAGGGAGTTCCTCATGAGCGGCCATTGCCTGTGATTGGCAATATGATGGGAATCGGGTCGAAATACCACTTTCGGGACATCAACCAGAGGATCTACGATCAGTTCAAGGGCAAGGCTCCTTTTGCGGGGATGTTCATGTTCTTCAAGCGAACCGCCATGATCACCGATCTGGACCTCATCAAGCAAGTGCTGATCAAGGACTTTCATCACTTCCAAGATCGCGGTCTTTTCAATAATACCCGAGATGATCCCTTGACGGGTCACCTTTTAACTCTGGAGGGCGATGCACGGTGGACTATCGCCTCAAGAATGGCATTAAGCGAAACGACTTTATGGATCAGCTTATAGAGCTGCGAGCAGAGAACCAAAAAGCGGCTAAAAGGGGTCAGGGTATCGATCTCTCCCATGGACTGACCCTGGAGCAAATGGCTGCCCAGGCCTTTGTGTTCTTTTTAGCTGGCTTCGAGACCTCCTCCAGTACAATGGCCTTCTGTTTGTACGAACTAGCCCTACAGCCCGATATTCAGCAAAAGGTTAGAGACGAAATAGAAAGTGTTTTGGGACAAAGCGAAATTACATACGACGCTTTAGCGGAAATGACCTATCTGGACCAGGTTTTGGCCGGTAAGAATAATATTGGAATTACAAAAACTGAAAACCCTAACACACATTTACCTACAGAAACTCTTCGGAAACATCCCATTATTGCGCAACTTCTGCGTGAAACTAATCAGAGCTACAATGTTCCAAATACAGAGCTGATCATCGAAAAGGGAACTACAGTGCTGATACCAATACACAACATTCACCACGATGCGGACTTGTATCCCGAGCCGGAACGCTTCGATCCCACTCGCTTTAATCCGGAGGAAGTGAAGTCCCGCCATCCATTTTCCTACCTTCCGTTCGGCGATGGACCCCGAAATTGCATCGGTTTGCGATTCGGCAAAATGCAGGCCAAAATTGGCATTGTGTCCCTGCTGAGACGTTTCAATTTTGGCGTTTCGAAGTTGACTGAGATTCCCTTGACTTTGGACACGCGCAGCCCCACTTTGTCCACCAAGTACGGGGTTCATCTGAAAGTTGAACGCATATAGGCCGTCTAACGTTACCTCTAACTTAAAATAAAAGGAATCTTTACTGATTTAATGATTATTTGTTTTGTGAATTTTGTTCGGCCACAAATTCTTAAAATATGTGTATGTCTGATAAAATTGTATGTGTCTGACAAGTACACACAAGTAAGAAAAATATTTCTACTCAAACAAAAAATCATATTTCATATTTCAATTTAATATTAAATCAATAAATTACATACAATGCGTATTGAATTAAATCTTTTGCTATTTACCTATTTGAAATTATGTGACGAATATTAAATTATTTGAATTAATGTAACGAATATTTGATTTTAAAGCATTTTATTTAAGTTAAATATGATTTAAAATGAAATATTACTGATATGAAAATACGTTACAAATTAAATAGTGTTACAATCGCAACGCATGAAAATCTAAGCGAAGAAAATTTATTTTGAGTGTGAAATACTTCTATATATACAATGCTTTATTCTTTCTTTTTTTTATATTAATAAAAAATTTTATTTAAAAACTTTTAAGAAATTATATTTATGCCATTTGTTGTGTACTTTTCAGTTTAATAAAAAGGTATTTTAAATATCTACATACAAGAGTTTATTTTTACATAACTAAGTATGTTCATTAAGTTGTTTAGAACCATTTTTGGAGAGCCATATAAAATGACGCAATACGTATTTGGATAACTGCAGTTCAGAAAGAAAGAGGCAAATGGTGAGAACTTAGAGAAAGCTTTTCCGCTGGAGAATCATGTGTGCTCCACTTTTCCACTCAGTTGCTATTCCATCCAACTGTGGGCACCATGTTCACGTTTTTCGCTCTCGTGTTCGCCGCTGTACTTTTGCTATATGTCAAGCTTCGCTGGCACTACGCCTACTGGAGGCGCAGGGGCGTGGCCGGCGAAACGCCCGTATATTTCCGCGGAAATATGAGCGGATTGGGTAAGGAGCTCCACTGGACGGATATCAACTGGCGGATATATAAGAAGTTCAGTGGCACAGAGCGCTACTGTGGATATTTTACCTTCTTGAACAAAGCGCTGTTCGTCATGGATCTGGAGCTGGTCAGGAAGATAATGATCAGTGATTTTGGCAGTTTCGCTGATCGGGGGCTATTTCATAATGTCCGGGACGATCCGTTGACGGGAAATCTCCTATTCCTGGACGGACCCGAATGGCGCTGGTTGCGCCAAAACCTAACGCAGGTCTTCACCTCCGGCAAGATGAAGCTGATGTTCCCCAACATGGTGGAGGTGGGTGAGAGGCTGGCGCAGGCTTGTCACCAGCAGATCGGCGAGATCGAGGCCAAGGATCTGTGTGCCCGCTTCACCACGGACGTGATCGGTAGCTGTGCCTTCGGTCTGGAGTGCAATAGCCTCCAGGACCCGGACTCGGAGTTCCGGCGAATGGGACGATCGGTGACCACGGAGCCTCTGCACTCGGTGCTCGTTCAGGCCTTCATGTTCTCCCAACCGGCTCTGGCCAGGATGCTGCGCATGCGTCTGTTTCGTCCGGAGGTTAGTGCATTTTTCCTGGACACCGTCCGCCAGACTTTGGACTACAGAAGGCGGGAGAATATCCACCGCAACGACCTGATCCAATTGCTCATGGAGCTGGGCGAAGAGGGAGCCAAGGATGCGTTGTCATTCGAGCAGATTGCGGCCCAGGCATTGGTGTTCTTTCTGGCCGGATTCGACACCTCCTCCACCACCATGTCCTTTTGTCTGTATGAACTGGCCCTTAATCCCGACATTCAGGACAAGCTACGTGTCGAGATACTGGACGTTTTGAGCCGCAACAAACAGAAGCTCACCTACGAATCCGTTCAGGAGATGCCGTATCTGGAAAAAGTGGTGGCCGAAACCCTGCGAAAGTACCCCATACTGCCGCATCTTTTGAGACTATCCACCAAGGAATACCGGGTGCCCGATAGCAACTTAACATTAGAGCCGGGAACTAAGATAATGATACCTGTGCATAGTATTCACCACGATCCAGAGCTGTATCCCGAACCAGAGAGGTTCGATCCCAGTCGCTTCGAGCCGGAGGAGATCAGGGCTCGTCATCCGTTTGCCTACTTGCCCTTTGGCGAAGGTCCTCGCAATTGTATAGGCGAACGCTTTGGCAAATTGCAGGTGAAGGTGGGTCTTGTCTACCTCCTGCGAGACTTTAAGTTCAGCAGGTCCAAGCAAACACAGATTCCCCTCAAGTTTTCCAGTCGCACATTCCTGATATCGACTCAAGAGGGAGTGAATCTACATATGGAAAGAGTGGCCGCGCCCTAGACATTCTATATTTTAAAATACAAGTACTCAAACCGATTTCTTATCTACTAGAAAAAGCGGTTCGAGATTGCATTAATACCTACAAATATAATACACTTTAAAACAAAGAAATTGTCATGATGCTCAAAGCTTAGTATTTGCACTCTCTCAAAAGCTTTATAATCAAAACAAAAATGATAATTAAATAAATAACACAAATTTAAGAGCGCAGATGAGATACCCTTAAATTTTGAATAATTTGGATATTATATTAAAAAGTAATCCAAAACTGTCTGAACATGTCTATATAATTGGTTAATTGAAGATGAAGAAACATAAAAATATTTTTAAAATATTTGGCAAGATTTAATTGCAAATGCATCAACAAAAAATTGATGATATTTTAGGTTTAATTTTATTGCACATTTTAGAATATTTGTAAAATACATAAAATAATAAAATTACCTCATCTAAAAACAATAAACCTAAATCATTCAGTTTTTTACGGAGATTAAATAAATAACAAAGTTGTATACTTACATATTTACTGTTTATTGAACTTATTTTCCAGTTATTTTACATGCAAAGCTCATTGCTACAACACACCGATGGTGGTTGTAATGGATAACCGCTTAAAAAAACTTGAAAAAGCTGACAACGACCACTCAAGTAAATGTTAAGTGGATGAAGTAGCCTATATTTCAGTGATTTGAAAAACTATTTCCTGATATGCTGACTCCAGTTTTCAGAAAACGTTTTCTATGAGCCTCTTAAAACAATGAAGAAGTTCTATCTAGATTTCAGAGATCAAAATTACGGAAATTTTGAAGAGCGGTCCTATCTTAGGATGAGTAAATTTGCGGATAAGCAGGGATACCAAGTCAGTTTTATACCCTTGCAGAGGGAATTATAATTGCAGTCAGAAGGAGATATTCCCGGCCCTATAAAGCAGCTAACGTTTGGATTTCTGCCTGACAGTTGAATCATTCGGTTGTCTAATTACAATTAATATAAGAAAATGTGTTAGACGTGTTTTTTATCTTCGTAAAAACTAATTTTATTAATAATACATACAATTCAGCTTATAGATAGAAAGAATGCCTGCACGCAAGCTGTCATTAAGGTTGCATTTAACATTCAGGGGAGTTAAGTTAATAAGTTAATTGGTTTCGCTTGGCTCTGACGACAATGGTATCCAATCTCAATGATGATCACAACGACAACGTCCACGCGGTCCGAGTAGATCTGTCCGGGATTAGGGGCTTGGGTTTTGGATATTGGATGTTGGATTTTGGGTTCTCAGGGGGAATCTATTGTACACAAGTATTGCTTAATAAACTAAAGCCAGCATAGATCATCGCACCACTAGCACGAATCCTTGTTGCAGTCGACAAAGTTGCTGAACTCGGTGGCATTGGGCGGGCCCTCACTGTACAGGTAGGTCACGGGCCACAGACGGGCAGCGGCAAAGTCACTGAGGCTCTGCAATCCGCCGGGTCGCGGGGGATGCTGGCTATATTCGCTGCTGGCCGCTGTCGCCGGCTGCGAATGGTGCGGATGCGGATGCGAATGCGTATGCGGATGCTTCTGCTGCTCCTTGGCACTGGGCAGTCCCAAATGGGAGTGCGTCGCCTGGGTGCCGTTCTTGCCGGGGAAGTACCGATCGCTGCACTTGCGCCACTGGTCCGACTCGTCGCCCACAAAGCACCTGCGGAAAAAGGACAATAATATTTTAAAATTTGGGATGTTTTAAGATGGCACTGATTGACATCAAACTTATATTATTGGGGGTGCCACAGAAATTACTAAGTTTTGGTAGTATCTTCTAAAGATGTCCAAATGTATGCAGTATAACGATTTATGTCGTTTTTTGAAACAAAGCAAATTTAAAATATTTTATTGCTTACTTTAATTCGCCATTATAATTTTAGGCTGAATTTTAAATTAAGATTTCAGTAACACCATTAATAAATTTTATTAAAAATGTTAAGGCTTTCAGAAATTATATTAATGTGAGTTTTAAAAATAAAACGAAGATTTAATTTAAATATAAAAGGAAATCTTTTCATATCAATAAGTTTTCAAATTAATATTAATTTTAGTTTTAAAACGACATAAAAGGGCTAAAAGTATGTAATCAAACAAAAACGTTGTCTTTTGGAAGGAATACAAAGGACTGTTGGGCTTAAAACATATTGTATTGTAAACATATTGTATATCTTTTAATGCAATGACAAGACCCTGATAGTTTCTTTGGCACTTTTGGTGGAATGGATATATTCTTTGGATAACCCAAATTGAATCCACATACCAGGGATAATCGAAGCCCTTGCTGTAGCCGCAGGGATGGTCCGCCTTGCAGCAGTAGTCCCAGGAGCCAACCTCGGAGGCGTCCGTCTCGCAGGAGTAGAAGCCGGTGATCAGATTCTTGGCGCAGGGGCTGCTTCGGCGGCAGGGTTTGCCGGAGACGGTGTAGTGGCGCCAGGCCACGTCGCCTTTAGCGAACAAGAAGCGAATTTAGTGGGGTCATGAGCACGGTTTTTGGGGGGTGGAAATCGGAACGGTGGCATGCAAACGATCGGTTAGTAGCTTTTTGGGGGATTCGTCTTTCGGTTATGCTGGGAGTGGGGCCACTGTACATGCTAGTAAACGTTATTTACACAACATTCTCCGCTACAAACTAATTTACACAAATTCTAATGCTAGTAATACACAACTATTGCTAATCCGCTGCCCGGTTAGAGCAAGCAGGAACCGGTTATTTACACTTGGATCGAGGTGCAACAGGTTAGTAGGTTGAGTTTACCCGGTTCCCGGAAGATGTCCATGCGGCGATCGTTATTAACCCTCGATCCGCCAATCGTGTTGACCTTGTCGCGACAGGTCCAGTCGAAGGGATTCCAGGCGAAGAGCCAAAAGTCGCGATCCTTGGTGTGTGCATAGTGCACATCCTGCTTCAACTCGGTCTGATCCAGATCGGAAAGCTCGCAGTTGAAGGTGCTAGCATGGGAGCTATTATAAGGTATTTAATTATATATATTCTTGGAATGTAATATATTGAAATTACCTACCCATAACTGAAAGCAAAGCACTTGAAAGGCGTCGTCTCGCGGAAGCGGATGCACTCCTTCTTACAGGCCATCTCCGAGGGCACGGAAATCACCTTCTTAATGGCCGGCGGAAGCAGTCTAGCCGGAGATCCATAACCCAAATAGCAGACTAAGGGGAATAATATTATTACTCCTTAATGAGGTGGAAAACCTGAGGAAAAACTCACGTTTCTTGTGCTTCTCATCCACAATCGGCTGGATCTCGCATCCATGGCCATAGCTCGCCCGCTCGAAAATGTCGAAGGCTGCGTCCAGGATGAGATGGCGCTCCTTGTCCATGTCCCTCACCGGCCAGTCACTCAGCTGGCAGTTGTCGATGACTCCGGCATGCCGCTGCTGGCCATATCGGAAGGCAAAGGCCCGGCAGGTGAACTTCGTGGACCGGATGCACTCCATCTCGCATTCGCCCACAGATCGCACGGTCAGCGAGTCGCGCACAATTGACTTGAAGAAACGTGTGGCATCAATTGCACGGAAGAAGCATTCTGAAAGAGCAGATGTAAATTTAGTCATTTTTAACGTTACAAATTCAAAAACAGAAACTTATCGTTTGTACTTTGCTAATACATTTTTTAAAACAAATAATTTACACCAAGTTCTGAAATTGAAACATTTTCATAGCACTTAGGCAATTTGTATTATTTACTTAACAAACAGTATTTTAAATATTTTTTACAAAGTTCAAAGCAAGTAATGAAAATGATGTTATGCATTACAAAATATTTTTCTATTTTTTTTAACATATTTAAGTCTTCTTTTTGTTTGTTTAAGCTTTTAACTGTGATAAGAAAATAAATATCTATATTCATTCTTTGGTTTATTTTTTTAAAAAAAATATTTATTAATATATATGTAATGACACTAATCTAGTGACTATTATGAACTAATCAATTGTTGTTGTGTGTTTTAACATAAGGTCAAACTTACGTGCATTTCGGGGATCCGAGAGGGCGGTGCTCGGACCGGCGGTATCGTGTCGTCGCGATGGCGGAGGCTGCCGGCACACGTCCATGTCGTCCGCCATGGAGTAGATGTCGTAGTCCCGATCCGGCTCTATGTCCACGTAGTAGTCGAGCATATTGATGGGTCGGTCACAGAGCATGCAGTTGTCCCTGCCAGCCTGGTTATACCTGTAGCTGTAGGTGTGGCAAATGAAACTGGGCCGCTGATCCGAGCACAGGCGCTCGCACTCCGTCAAAGTGGGCACGTTGTAGGCGTGCTTCACGGCCGTCTTGTGCAGCCGGAATCCCTCGCTGGTTTTGGCCGAGCATTCTGTGATATAACAAGTAAATGTTATAACAATTAATAAATAATAGCTTACAATTTTTAAATTTTCAATGAAACAGCAAAGCTCTACCATGTAGACGAATTATATTTAAAATTTTTTTCAAAATAGAAGAACTCATCTAACATTGCGATAAAATCTATTAATTATACAAAAAAAAAAAAAAATAAAGTAGTAATTTTTAAAAGCTATCGCATACTTTGTCCCAAACTAGATTTTAATTAGTTAAAGATGTGGACATTTGTTAAACAAGAGAACAATTTTTTAATTCCGTGCTTTATCGGGAGTATATAATTGCACAAAACATAAACTTTATTTAAAATATGTCAGTTAGATAATTAAAAATGTAGCCAAACATCAATTTTTCAACGAGGAACTTTGTGGTGGTACGTTTTGGCTTGTGGAATCTCATAAATTATTTCAATGAACACATTACTAAAGTATTTAATAAAATTTAATTAAGACCCTATAAGTTGCAAAGATTTTAAACATCTAAAATTCGTCTAAGAGTGACTCACCATCTTGTCCCGGTCGCCGTGTCCACTGCTGACGGTAATCGTTGCGCCTCCTTGGGTAATCCTCCTCGTAGCCAGATCCCGGATAGCTGAGCACCGAGTTGGAATCGCGATGAGGGGTCGGGGCCCCCAGCTGGAAATAGTTGAAGTCCTGCTGGTCCTTGCGCCGCTGCGACTCACTCAGACCCCAGTACGATGAGGAGGATGAGGAGGAGGAGTGCTTGCTGCTTCCGCCGTAGCTGCCGCCGTAGTGTCCCCAGTTGTCCTCGCCACCAATCAGATAGGGTACGAACTTGTTGGGCTTCTTGTAGGAGCCGGGTGGTCCCGGTGCTCCTGGTCCATCGCGGTCGAGGTAGTTGTGCGACGGACGACTCGGTGGTCGATAGGGTGAGTAATCCGAGCCAGGACGATAGGGTGGCCGGTACTTGTCAATGCGATCCGTTTCCGGGCGTGGCGGTCTGTAGACGGAGCTATCGTAGCCGGAACTACTTGGCAAAGTCTCCCAGCGGTCCGGTCTGCCAGGGCGATAGTGTGGTGGATCGTGGCGATCGACGTAGGCATGGTCACCGCCATAACTGCTGGGCGGGGTGTGGCCAAAGTATCCTGAACTGGAGCCCGTGCTCGAGCCGGAGCCATGGGAGGAAAACTCATAGGAGGATTGGGAGGACGAGCTATGGGCGGACGAGCTGTGCGAGCCATGGAACTCGGAGGAGAAGGGCGGCGGTCGGTGCTCGTAGGAGCTGCCCGGTGGACCCGATGGTCCGCGATAGTGATCCACGGCCGTGCTAACCGGCGGACGGTAGTGATCCCTCTCCCTGTCCCGATCTCCATAGCCGCCGCCCGCACTGGGCTTGAAGTACACGGGTTGACTGCTCACCGGACCCTTGGAGCAATCCTGGCAAGCACTGCGACGACAGCTGCTCGGCGCATTGCGATCCCGCTCGTAGTAGTCGTAGTCCGGATGCCTCAGCAGATTGGCATCCCGGCGATCCGGACTGGAGTAGAGGTCCATCTGGGCCAGCGGCATCTCGACCAGCTCGCAATCGCCCTGGCCATGACCCGACGGATCCAGCCGGTAGTTGAAGCCCTCGCACATGAACCTGCGCTCCCGTCCGCACTCCCGCATGCACTCCTCCACCCGCTCACAGGATATGGAGCGGCGCACGAAGTGAGGGGCAATCCTTTTGCCGGCCAGGACTCGCCGGAAGCAAGCTGAAACAAGGAGATCAAGTAGGTGTTGCAGTGCCAGTTGCAGATGCAGATGCAGCTGCGCCTTACGCAATTGTGGGCACCGCCAAAAAAAAGGGGGAAAAAGATCAACCATTCAACGTTTGGAGGCAGTGAAGCGAGGACAGAACCCAAGATCGGGGCTGGGTTGCTTCATGGGTGTCTGCACTTTAGAAAAAATTAAGCATTTCTTACTGAAAAAGGTGCAGAGTTGGCAGCTACCTAATATCTTGACAGTTTTGTATAATTTTGAGAACTATAAGCTTGTGTCAAACAGTGAAGAACGAACCATAAATTTCAAATCTTTTTAGGTGATAAAGATGTTGTCATCTGGCGATTTAAATTAAAATAATATTAAATACGAAAAATAATGGCAATAATAATAGTCTGGCTTACTTTTTCTTTTCTAATTAAATAAACATTATATCAGTTACGAAAAAAAAGAAGCTACCAACTACGGAAATTGAGATAGAAGTACCGGAAACATATCTGAGGGTAAGGAAGAACCCATTAAAAACTAAAAAGAAAAGTGAATTGTAATCAAGTTATTTAATAAAAAAAAATTTAAATAAAAGTAATATCATATACAATAACGAGAGAGCTCTAGAAAATGTATGTAAGAAAAAATGTTTTTTTCTTGTTACATTTTTTTTGTAATTATTTAAGCATTAGCTGCCAAAAGATAATTAGCTTCACCCTATTCTTTAAAAATCATTTCACTTTCTAACTTTCCAGTGAGAATTTCAATTGTAAAATTGTAGAAAAACTCCTTATTTAAGTCTAGAACAAAGAACATATTTTTTGACGAGTGCATTTATGTTCAAGTTGGTTTCTGTTTCTGTTACGGGTCGAAGTGTTTTTCGCTGCTGTGTTTTTGCGGCACATCCGTTGCCGTTTTGAGTAAATTATGTTCGAGTCATGTTGGGTGCCGTGTACTCCAAGCGAAGATTATCTCCGGGAAAATTGCCAGCCAAGACAACGTGTTTTTCACCCAGAACGATGGAAATTATGCAAATTACTTTAATACGCACTCCGAAATTCGGTCGAGAGTTGGGCCTGACATGGGCCCCAAGTGGAATGACCTAAAAGCATTGAAGCCCCCTACCTTTAGCATCCTCCACTATGATAATGGTGCTGCTGAGATCGGTGTGTCGCGTAGGACTAACGAACTTCGATCTGCTGTCGTTGGCGCGACTCAAAAGCAGAAGCAGCCACAAAAATCCACAAATACTACCCATTTTTCGGGGGTTTATTGTACCAAAAGCGGTGTGATTTGGTGTGTTTTGGTGTGATTATGCGATTACGTAATGGCTTAATTAGCGTTCTGGGCTAATTAATTTCTGTGCAATGTCAAGCGCTTTCAAAACAATGGGCCATCGCACACAGGACACGGAGACGCGAACACGATTTTCCGGACGGGTATTTTTCGACGCGCGGCGCTGGCGATTCTAATCGCGAATGAACAGCGGCTGTGGTCAAGCTTGCGGTTTTATACGGCATTAGAAAATCGCGCGCGATTTTCGAGCTTTTCGCTATTACGCTTCTACGCTTCTGAGCTGGCAAAGCTTTTGCGCTCTGGCGCTCAGAAAATCTGAAAACTCCCATTTTCAGCGGATTCTTTTTCATTCGACCCCAACGCAGAGAGCACATCGTTTGCCCAGAAGCCTTGGATCTCCGGTATAATGAGCATTTTCAGATGCGCTTTTTTTTTTCTTCTATTTTTTCGGTGGAAGATGCCTATCTTGGCCAATGATTCAGATGAAAATACGAGGGTACAGATCGCTGCGAGATGCGATACAGATGGGGGCAGCCAACCGTTAACAGACCTCGCTCAAGGATGCCTCATCTTGATATGATACTTATTATTTCGTTTCAATAAGAGCGAACTTAATAAGGTACTCGGAAAATCTAAGTCCAAATCGTTGGCCGTCTGAACATAGCCGAATAAATCATGAGCAAATTAAGTGGATTTAGGGCTAATTAAAATTTCTCATAACATTGTTTTCAGCTCAAGGATGGACCATTTTTCAAGCTGCGTTATTATGGGGTGTTTAATTGCTACGGAGTTTATTTTAATAAAAGTCCCAAATTTGAAACTTGTTCAATCTTATAGATTAAACTTGCATATGTAAACATCACTTGGTACTAAACTTAAACTGTAACTTTAACTTAAAGTATTCAAAGTGATGTTTCAACTAATATTTGACCTTCTTTTTAACTCTTCTTTTTGTGACAGATATTTTGTTCAATTTAATTAATTTCATAAAAAAAAAAACAAAGAAGAATTTCAAGTGTAGTTATAACGAATTTTAAAGATATACATATATGTATAAATATCTCATGTCTTAGATAGAAAATATTTTAAATTACTTTATTAACAGAGTAAAATGTAACTTTATGGATATATATATATCTTTAGAGTTTTATTTTCTTTAAACTATAAATATTATGTTTAACTGAAACACCTAACGATAAATAAAAGCTTTTGTACATGATAGAATAAAAAACGAATTGATAATTAAAAGAGAAGCCAACTCTGAGAATTGCGCAGATAAACTAATGTTTTATAATGCAGTTTTAAGACCACAAAAATATCTTTACTTCTATATCCAAAAGGAATAAATCATCCTGCACTTTTAAGTTGCTCGCCTAAGTCTTTTGTTTTTGCCAAGACATTTCTGATCCATACTGAATTTCTTTGGGCTTTACTGCATTTCCCAATCAAACCTGACCACAAATATGAGACCATCGATCATATCGCCCCCTCAACCACCCAAAGAAGCCGACTTAAGTGCATTTCCGTTTCTGAATCAATGTCACTGCTGTCAGGCAGTGGTGCCACGAACTCGAACCGCAAATGTGGGTGGTTTTTGTGCACCGACTTGGAGTTCGCATTTGCATACAATGAATGCCAGGGGAGTGTGCATGCTGAGTGCAGTTCCACTCCGTTCTGTTCAGTTCTGTTCTATTCTATTCCGATCTTGCACAACGCTATAGAACCGCCAAAAACTGGAGATACCTATAGCGAAGATCGCTTCCGCCTCCCAGCGAACTGTATAGCCCAATCTCCAAGTGTAAATTACGATCTGTCCCACGCCAAATAAAAGCAAGCTAACTAACTAACTAGCGAACACGCCACCTTAGAAACACAATTAATTGCGCCAACGTCATCAAGTTTGGCATTTGAACTTGGCTTTTCTAGGCACTTGGCATACGAATATGCATAGCTTGTGGTATATTCGGTAGGCTTATGTCACCGCCACCCGCTGGGTTCATGTACTCCACTCCGTCACACTTGGGGAACCCGAAAGGAAGTCGAAATCAAAACACAAATTGTTCCCTGATGATCTGGCTTGGTGGTTTCAGAATTGTCATAAATCTTCTTGCACTTGACAAGTCAATTTCTTCTGTAAAACAATGAGATCATATCAACTGAAGAGACCGGAACAAAACCAGCTGGAATTTATTTGGGTGGGATTATCTTTGCAGAAATAACGATATTAGTCTAGATTTGGATCTTAAGCCCCATTTAGATGAAAAATATATTAGTAAGGGATTTTAACTTAAAGGAAGTTTTCTTTACTTTAAATTTCTTCTAAAGAGTAATTTAAAAAATCTCAAGCGACTAAAAAATTCTTTATAAATCCAAGTCGTTTTCAATCTAAGTCATTGTTCAATAGACAATCAAATTAGTTTAAAAAGAAGTTTTTTATTAATACCTATTTTGAAAGGGTTTTTAAAAAAAATAATATTGATTTGTAAATAATTGGATTACTTTCAAATATATAATTTTAAATTTCTACTAATAATTGCCTAATAGAATGATCTAAGAGAACCAAAGCAGCTAAGCATTCCATGTGGGTGACCCTAATTTTTGCATTCCCATTTAACCCCGCTAGCCATTAATCAAAACTTCGGCCACAGCATTATTTATTATACCGTTTTGTGGGTGGGTTAGTTCGTGGAGCTTTTGGCTCCGTTGTATATATATTATGCGATTGTGAATAATGTCGATGTTTACTGCAACCGCCCACTCACCCCCAGAGACCCCAGATCCGATGAGCATTATGCCAGGCTAATGGGTTTAGTTTTGTTACGCAAATAAAAGCCAGGGAATGTGGGTCAATCGGGCGTCTGTCATCTGTCACTTGACCAGTCGGTCGCCATGGACCCCGAAAGCTAATGAGTTTTAGTTGTGCGCCATGTTAATTCTAAATTTTAGTTTTTGTTTTGTTGTTGTTGTTGTTGCAACTCTCAAGTGACCCGTGTCATTGTCTGTTTATATGGTTATAGGCACAATTGCATGTCTGTTGGGTTACTGAGTTAGCGTTGGGGACATCACGAATCCATAAATTAGTTGAAGGTAGAGGAATCAGGGAAAACTGAACACCATAGGCCAACTCACCCTTTAGTTCATCCATGGGATATCCCAGTCGATCGCGGTCTCTATCGCCAGGCATTGGTCGTTCTGAAAGAAAAAATAATTATTATGTAATAATTTATCTTTTAATAATATAGTAATATCATATCATATCATATATATATGTCACAGTCATTTTTATATTAATTTGTCTATCTCATTAAAATAAAATAATAAAAAAGAAAATACACAAAAAATAAGAGTTTCTTAATTGGTAACAACCTATACGTAAAATTCCAAATCAATAAGAACAAATTGAAAATATTAATTATTAAACTTTTATTATTTATGTTTGAATTTATCCAAAATTTTCTTTTGAATCTTTTTGTTTTGTTCTGACACTCATTTATTGTTACTCACTGTTTCCTTGCATGAAGTCATCGGGATTGAAGTAGGTGGCAATAGTTTTGTCATCATCATATCCTCCGTATCCGTCTCCGGGTCGCATGGCACTGCCATTCCGACGGACGTACTCATCCCGTGGCGGTGGAGGTGGACCCTCGTAGGGAGGAGGCGGTGGCCGTGCCGATGGTCCATTCATTCCGTAACCATCATGCGGCGGCATGGCTGGTGGATCGGGTCTATTGGTGTAGTCAGGACGGGGTTCGCGATGGGGATCATAGCTGGGACTGGGGCGTGGTCCGTAAGAAGGCGGTGTGGAGCTGTCATGGGGGCGTGGAGCATACTCCGGACGATCGGCCGTGGGACGGGGTGCATACTCAGTGGGTCGTGGTGGCCCTGGCGGATATTCCGGACGATCGGCAGTGGGACGCGGTGGTCTGCCAGCATAACTGGGACGCTCCTCCGAGGAACCACTTGATGGCCTCCCCGTCGGCGGTGTATATCTCTCCGGGGACCCGTAGCTATAGCCATTTCCATAGCCCAATCCAAAGATAGGTCTGGGCGGGCTGTGGGGCGTGGGCCTAATGCCCTCGTCCTCTGCCGGTTCGATGGGTCCGTAGTGCGGTCGATAACGCTCATCCACCTCGGGGGCATTGGCTGCATAGCCACCGGGAATGTAGGCCTCTTCGTTGGTCGACGGGTAGTTGTTCTCGTACAGAGTTGGGTATTTGTAGAGGGGATACAGATCGTGCGAGAAGTAAAGGCGATCACCAACTCCAGGGGGTGGCAGAGAGGAGGGTGGTCCCAGTGGCGGAGGAGGACCACCACCACCACCACCAGGCGAGGTGTGGGGCGTGGGGTTCACCACCAGCACGGGCGTATTGCCCACATCCAAAGGCCTGTTGGGCAGATCCAGTGGCGTCGGACCGGGAGAAATGGGACTGGGTCCGGGAATGGGCAGTGGACCGGGGGCAATCGAGTTGTCGCTCAAGTCGAAGCAGTTCGTCTTGCGCGTGTACAGATCAAAGTCGGGATCGAAAATGACGCCCCCCGGCCGCCCGCCGCCCCCCCGATCCGTACTGCTCCGATGACAACTGACAAGTGCCGTTTCCGCGTCGATGAACACTGCAAAAATCCGAAAAAATTAAACAGAAACACACATATATATATATAGTTATGTACACAAGGTGGAAATTGGGCAATCAAGGGGTGACAGGTGGAAGACGACTCACCCAAACGAGATGGCCTGACACTTCTCGCCCGCCTGCAGGCACTTCTCCTTGCACATCTTCAACGAGTTGGTGTCTTCGGTGCGGAAGGTCTTCTCAAATGGCAGCATCGCCTCCAGTGCAATCCGTTCGAAGCAGTCTGTCGATGCAAGATGGTAGATGGTTGATGGTAAATGGTAAGATCCAAACTACAAAAGGTTCAGCTGGCAGTTAGGTAATCCCCCACCCCTACCCCCCACTCTCCATCATTTCAAACAATTGCGTCACCCCACTTGCACTTTCAAGGCCACCGCTGGTGCTCCACTTCGTCCACTCTACGGTAGGTTAGTTTTATTGACTCTGCAATTGTCTCCATTTTCGATTGTTAGCCGGGCTTTGTTCTCCATTTGGGTTTGAATTTGGATTTAAATTTGAATTTTATTAACTTTGCGTGCTCGCGGGACGCAGTTGGGTGACCCATAGAATTTTCGTCAGTGCATGAATAATTCAAAAAGGTCAAACCATAGACAAAACACATTGCTCCGCGGTGTCTGTGGTCTGACATGCTTGATGGATTGGCCCCCAGCCTTTGGTTGCTTTAATTTCCAAGAAATTATCTCATTTAGAATATTTGAATATTTCCCTTGTAATGCTAGTCATAACCATTTAAAACTTACATTCAGGTACTATTCCAAGTGCTCATAATTCATTTGTTATAGGTTAAATTAAAATTGTATTTATTATTAGTTTTGCAATACAGGTTAATTTCAAAGCCATAATGGCTTAAAAGCACAGATTCTAGTATCTTTAATGACGCTGTTAACTACCATATATTGTAAGTATTTTCCCATTCGCATAAATCTTATAAAAAGCCAGTTCTCAAAAAGACTTAAAGCTGATTGTTAAGACCACTTATTTACTGGCCCAAATGATACTTATTACCATGATAACTGTATTTTGAATGTCTTAAACACTGTGAAGTATGGGAAAATTGTTTTTCTAAACATTTTAATATTCAAATTATAATATTAATATCTAAAAGTTATTTCACTAAGAAAAAACCTGAATGATACTGTATAAAAACTTTATGGTACTGTTTTTGTGCAATTGTTCACATTAGTTAACAAGTAATGTTTTCCCGGCTTAAAGCTCTTTCAGTTTAGGCTTACTTTAATAAAACTTGATTCACCTAATCTTTAAATAGTTAACAGTGCTAAACCAATTTTATTAGATTTTGTATAGAAATTTGTTTGGATTCGAAATATCGAAAATATTAACTTTTTGGTGTGCAACAAATATTGCTTAAATTGGAACCATATTTTACCCCCAAAAATGTTTAATAATGAAAATAATTCTCTATTTCCCTGTATTTAACTTACCATTTCGTGCCGATACCAATTGATTGTCGACTGTCAAAGCCTCAACAGTATCCCAAAAACCGATCAGGAGAAATGCGAGTTGCAGACGCATTAATCGCTGACCAAGCGTGTTATCGCTAATCGCGATCATTGAGTACGATTAATTGGCGACCCCAGCGGCGATATCCGATATGATGATGCTTTCTTTTAGATTTGCTCTCACTTAACTCGCTTTTTTTGGCACTTCCCCTTTTGCATTATCAGCGGTTTCACTTGGGCTTCTGGCCAGTAGATTTGCTCGAGGCACCGATGGGATGGACGGGAGATTTCGAACTGAGAGACAGCGAACTGCTCGAGACTCGTAGAAACCTTCTGCTTCTTTCTATCGCCTTTCTTTAAAGTCGCGTGTATCTTTCTTTTCTGTTTTTTTTTTGTCTGATTCGTTTTGTGTTTCTGGCTTTCGCGTTACGATTCGCTACTTTTCACATTCTTTTCACCGTTAATTATGTTGCCAAAATATGCAGATCGTTAAAAATGAGCCAAGATCGGCTTTATTTATGGGCTCGCGGGCAAGAAGAGACGTCTAAAGATTCTGCGGTTGCGGAAGAAGCCGACTCCACATAATTATGATGGCTCTCGGCTGTAATGCTGCGGGTGGGAGAGAGAGGGCGAGAGTCAATAACCTGGCCAACCAACCAAGCGGTACGAAGCCTTCTTACAGGCGATGACGTCAGAGTTCAGTGCACAGGTGCCTGTGACCTTTCGACCAAAAGTTTCTGGTGTTGGTCGATAATTAAAAACTCTAATGACAAAGTGCTCATCAATGCGTAAATCCAGCATTTGTCATCCCAATGCCGAAAGCCCCTAAAACAATAATAACTCAACTTTTCATAGTTGCAAAAAAAAAAAAACAGAAAAACAAAAACAATTAAGGTAAGAATCTTGATGATTAATTAAAAAGCTGACAGGCGAAGAATTCTTCGCAGAATAAGAATGAAATAATTTTGATGGTGAAAATTGTTAGATTAGATTCGCCGACTTTCTTCTTTTTGTTTTTGGGGCGAGGGAAATTAAGCTGGGAAATGTAGCGAATATAACGGCATTTCCGTTGCGCTTTGACACTTTGCAAATCTCCACAATTTCGGCTAATGACAAGAAAGCCCTATAAAACACACACACCCAATTTCAATTTACTTTTTTTTAGTTTCTTGTTTTATCTTTTGCATTTGATTCGGCTTTGGGTTTGTGTATTTATTTTATTTTTGCTTTATTTTGTTTGGGGCTCGTCTCGTTCGGTTTGGCTTGTTTTCGCTGCCTCGCGCACTCGACGCCGATCCGCACTCGCTAAACAATTGAAACTGAATAAAATTCTGATTTAGTTGTGTTCGAAACTCATCGGAGGAGCAGAAAGCGGCGCAGACGCGACAGTGCTGCGGCAGAGCCCCGGGCAGAGGCAGTGGCAGTGGCAGAGGCAGCGACCGAGCCAGGTAAGCATCTCTCTTGGCAATTTGTGGATGCCACACTAAGATAAAGTTTCTAACACATTTTAAAATATATTTTATAAATTTATATTTTATGTTTATATATATATATATATCTTAATAGCACATAAATAGTCTGTCTTTTTTGGAATCTGGCTTAAATGAATGGAACTTTCTTGTTATTTATATGTTGTAAATTTATAAATAAATAAAAAAAGTTATTTTTCCCTATTATTAAAAAAGAAATCTTAAGCCAAATTTTCAGAAATCAGCAGATTCTGTTTGCTAATTTTCACACAATTAATGGTTTGAATCACTAGCTTTAGGTAAAAACCTATAATTATTCAGAACTTTCAATAATAAAAATAATGGTAGTAACATTAATAATGTTATTTAAATAACAATTAGTTTTTACGATCTAACTCCCTAAGAATTAAAAAAATTTAATGATTACAACTATATTTCCCTAAGATTTTACATGTGTTTAAATTTATAGAGGCTTTGAAAAATACTGCTTGTTCTAAAAAATTGTTTCAAGCTTTTTAAGATTTACCTTAAATTAAGAGTAGGTACTTGAAAAGCTTAGCCAAATGGTAATGAACGACAAGTTACAATTAAAATGTTATTAAATGAAAATAAGAAGTTTCTGGCTAATTACTCATAATAGTTCGAAACCCTTTTTTTCCAAGTGTAATTTAGATGTTATTTGTGGTGTTAAGAGGGAGAAGGTGGGGAGCAAGAGGCGATGGAGCTGGGCTCTGCAGATCGTCATCATCATTATCATCATTAGCATTGCCCACGCTGCGCCCACTTGAGACATTTGTGGGCAAGGGGTTCTTCAAGGAAGGGAAATAGCTACTTGAGGGTTCGTTGGATTCCCCCCCTTGTTCCCCCTTCCCAACAGCTGGCAATGACTCTCGAAAATTGTTTTAAATGAAATTGTAACAGGGAAATTCGCCCACACAATGAGGAAAACTCAAATGCCCTTTCATATTAAAATTTTGGAATGTAGAAGAATGAAACAATTTACCTAAAGATATGTCCTTATTTCATAAGCGCAATTATTAACTATTGAAAGTTCTAATATTATTGAAATAATTTTTGAGTAAATATATCAAACCACAACGACAGGTTTCTTTTTCGATCGTTGAAAATATTGCTCTAAAAATATTGCATCAAAATAATTTGTTATGTATACTTTTAAAAACAGAGACAAATTATGGTAAATCCAAATATTTTCACTTTGAATTAAATATTTTCGGTACTGAATTAGCCCCGAAATCAAATCCAAGTGTATTACACATTCATTTCTATTTTTGAGTATCGAAAAATTTAGTTTTAAATAAAAAAAATGGAAGTCGACCATTTTTGATTGGATAAGCCAATTAAATATGTTTATAATTTCATTATGATGTTTTTAGTTTATTATAAGTAAGTCTATATTTTTAAAAACAATGTTACATTCAAATATTTTAATGTTTAAATTTACTATTGGTTTTTTCTCTGGGTGTACTTTGTGTAGAGTCCACACTGTAAACAAACTTATAAATAAAGGCACGTTTGCGTGATTATTGCTTGTGCGCCATGTGTTTCTTTTGGTGCAATTAGAGAGAAAGAACTCGCTAGAAGACGGGAATCAGTGGAGCAGTCGAATTAGAATCGCACCTGAAGCAAAGAACCCAAGAATTTGAATTTAGGCGCTTGCTGAGTTTTCTTTCCGCATTGCTGACCGCTCTAAGCGGTGTGAAATTCAAATTTAACGGACACCCACTGGCTTTGCCGCTGCCCACAAGTGCATTTGAGGTTTTAACTCAAGCGTTAATTCGAGCAAGTCTTCACAAAACGCTCGAAAAAGAGATTTTCGAAAGATGGAGAAATCAGGTGATGAATGGCTGGGAGGTGAGGTTCATAATTGGCGACACCTTTAAGTGCCGACCTTGTCATGCTCGCTGGCGTCGTCTAATTCAGGCCGGGGTTGTTCTTCATCAGCGCCTCGCCATCGACTTCACAAATCTGCGCCGCCGTCTGCGCACGCGCAGCAGTCGCAGTCACAGTTGACGTCGACGCCGGCAGAGGCAGGAATGGGATTCGCTGAAAACAAGGCAAGATGAGCTCATTAGGCAGCTAATTTGCATACCAGGAACTCCTAGGAATTCTAAGTCGCACCGGAGGTTACGCCCCTCATGCAAATCATCAAGAGAATGGGGATAGCCCAAAAGCCAAATTAGAAATAAAATGAAATATTAATCTCTAAATTGCCCAATAGCAGAATTGTTAATAAATTACAAATTATACACTAATTGGAATTAAACTGGAGTTAAAAAATTAATTTTACTTTATGTTTACGTTTTGCAAGCTATTAAAATATTTAATGTTGTTATCGGACCCAAGCGAAAATGTGATACAAATCTTTATTCTGTGTACTTAATTTCTTTACTTAAATAAAAAAAAATGCTAGGACAAATGCATTACAAATAATTAACCAAATTTAAAAATAAAACTTATGTGGCTTAAAAATAGTGCTAAGATGACAGTTTTAAACTATTTGGTTTAGAAATGTAACAAACATGTATAGGAGTTATATTATTTACTATTGAATTTATAGTCATACTTTAATACTGTCTAAAGTTTATTTTCAAGACACACTTATTAAAACTAAACTTTCAGATTTTTTTGGGCTTAGTGTGTGAAAACTAGGCCTGTCCATAATTATTTAAAAATCAAAAAGCATACCTTAGATTCTGCAAATGCAACCTTAGCAATAAAATTATGATTAATATTTAGATTTTAGGTTATTTTTTCTCTACTTTAATATCTTACCTGCAATTTCCAGTTAGCTAAAAATATCTTCTTCGAAAACAAAACTAAATTTAAACATGTATTGTTCTTTCTTGGCCATTCTCAATTGTAAATGACCCAGGGACTCCGCCCCCAAGCAGGTCAAGTCTGTTTCGCCAAACGCTCAATACCCAAATGGCCAAAATAGAAGACCGGCACTGGCGGCGCTGGCACTTCCACGCATTGCACAATAATTTGTGCCTGTGAATATTTGGCTTTGGGGGCTGCTCCACATATCGCTCATATCGCTTGAATGTGCAGTGTTTGCTTTGGCACTTGTCCCTCGACCCTATCGAAGTCGAAATCGCATCGCATCGCATCAAAATTCACCCGACTTGCGGTGGCGATCGGTGCTTTTGGCGGACGCACACCGCCTGCCAAGTGGGCGAATCGACCACATTTCTAGCGTATCTGCGTGAAAATTTCAATTTCAATTTCAGGTCGTGTCTAACTGGAAGATATTGGCAGCAGATACGACTCGATGGCAAACCGATCGCCGATCAGGGCGGAGTGTGGTCCGCAGGAAATCCATGCCTCCAGCCGTGTCATGTAATGCGCATCGATTGGGTAAACGATTTCTGCGGGGGCGCATAAATTGTAGTCAAAAGCTGATTGGCAGTTGTGGGCCAGCAGGAAGCCCAGCTGATAACACGTACCAAAATCATTCATCCAACTCGGCTTAGTCGCTCGAATATGCAAATCCAAGGGAGCATGATTCAATAAAAATAATTTTGATTTTTCAGAAAAGAAATTGCTTATGGGAAAGTTACAGATGACTTCTGAATTTAGTATTTTTGGTGCTCAGATTTCTGTTTAAGTGTTTTAGTCGCTAATTAAGTGTTTTTTAAGTATTTTTTTCTTGATTTCAGAATTGTTGTGCTTGGTTCGCTTAATGCGAGTCCAATCAATCGTGCTTAATAAACGAAAGTCCTTGAATTCAACTCTGGCTTTTCTTTCTGAGAGTTCTGAATTGCATTAATGACTATCCTAAGTTGTAACTTAAATGTGGAATTCTTTCATAAATCTTTCCAAATATACCTCTTTCTGTTGTTCACCAATTTAATATACCCAAAGGCGTTTAACAGTCCATCAAATATCATTTCGATTTTAAGTCTTTAAGCATTTTTGCCAATTATTCACTTAACAGTTTCATGTATTTTAATATCAGCCTTACAAATTTACCAAAAATGCCAAACAATTACTTAAACTTAAAAGCATATGTATGGTTGCAAAAAAAAAAAAATCTCTGGTGCAATATAGTTTTAACTGCTTATTTTATATATTTCTGCTACTCAATAAAGCATATGTAAATCAAATTCTAGTGTGCATCAACCACTTTTGGAACGCGTAAGATTGATTTATGAGCCAGTTATCTCGTATCAATCTTACTGGCTTTTATCACAAACGATTTGTCCACTCATGTTTGACCAATCGACTGGACAGCCAGTCATGTTCCGCCATCCAATTAGACTGTTATTTTGTTTGGCTGTATCTGCATAACGACGAACACTTGGCGTGTTTTACATCATGTTGGTGGTGAGTGAGCTGTTGAGTCCGCATGTTCGTCTCAATTAGAGTCTGAGTCTAGTGGCCAGCTGTTCCACTCTAGCTGCAGCAAAGATCTTATTACACAGAAAACATTTTTATCATAAAAGAAAATTTTTGATAGTTGTTCCAGCTTAAAAAAGTTTAAAAATCAAGTAACAATAGTTTAGTTTCTATACCATGCCAAAAAACAACTTTAATCATCGAAATTATGTATGATATTATATTCTCTGTAATCTCGGTTTTTAAGCTCAAACAAATAAATGAAAATTTTGAAAATTTTGAAAAACCCAACTTGAATACTATTCTTAGTTCAAAATGAACAAAGCTAAGATTATTGATCAAAATAATCATTAAATTTTTTATAAGATTTATGATATTCTTGAAATAAAGCTAAAAATTGATTTATAATTAAAACACTACAAAACACAAAGTCCTAACCAAATTAACTAAAATCGCATTTTGTTATATATAAAATTAATCTTCTTAATGTTCATCTAATCCAAGTTCTTATTTCTTACTGTGTCGTTTCGGGACCTGGTCCGAGTTTTTTGTGTGGTCCACATTCACAGATATCAAAACTCACCCAACAGGAAGTATTTGCATGTGCAGATCTCGGGATCCCGATCCAAAACTATTCGAGAGCGCGTTCGCAGAAAGCGAAAGTAATCATCCACCACAGCAGCGGCCACCGGGTGGATTATTGCTCGGTTGCGCCCACGGGCACGCATGGTTAGAAGGGGCGCTCGGTAGCGGGGGGGCGTGGCATGGAAGCTATGGCATATTTATCACACAGACAAATATGCATTATGCAATTTGGCATGTCTAAAACGAGCAATTTGCCGCAAATGCAATAAAATCCCGGGAAACAGGGTGGGGTAAGTCGGTGTTTCGGTGGTTCGGCGGCTCGGCGCATCGGTGGCTCGGTGGGGCAGGATGGCAGTGGTGCGCCCTCAAACGCAGCAAAAGCACACTGGCCTACATATACACAGAAAACACGCGAGAGTGAAAGAGAAAATGGAAAAGTGATAGTTTAACCCATTTCAGACCGCTGTTCGGTTAGTTCAATCAACTAACTTTGGGTATTTCTGGTAGTATATGGTTAATAAAATTAAACAAAAAAGTTTTAAAACTTAGTTTAATATTATAAACTTTTCCAGCAACAAACAATATTTTATCGGGTCACCTTGTTCTTAAAAAGTAATTTTTTAGTTGGGTGCTATGGCCAAAAGTACTTCATTGAATAATTTTTTTTAAAAATTGGTAAATAAATAATAAAAAAATAATAATAAATTATAAGCATAAGCTAACTAATTTTAATTTTTATAAATTTTTAGTATGTAACTAAAGAAGCTCCCTGTTCAGCGTTGAATGGGTTAAACAATCCGCAATTTTAAGCTCTTGACAGTTGATTTAACAGCAGCAACATGCAACAACTAGTTGCAACAGCAGCTGGCTTGGCTAACGTTATGTCAGGGGCATTATAGAATGGGCCAAAAACGACAAAATCAAAATCAAAATCGAATTTCTGTAAAATCGTGTGATGCATGGCTTGATTAGCGCCACAACTGTTACTGTTAAGTAATTGCCCGAAATGCGTTTTATTGCAAATTTACGGCGTACGTGTTTCGTGTTTCGTGTTTCATATGTCGTGATTTGTTTTCTTTTTTTTTTTGGGGTACATCCAAAACTTGTCTCCTGTAATTCCAACGCTAACCCATATAAGTTGACACCACCGGCGACAGTAGGTACGAAATACAAAAAAAAAAAATTCATTCAAGGTCGTTCGCTGGAGATGGCTTCAAGCTGATATGGAAGGGCCAGAAATTTGGATTAGCGTGACAACTTTGTTTTGTCTCCGCTCTCACGTTCACTTTTTTTCTTGGCGGTCTGCAGAAGGCCGCTAAGTGATCCATTCAGTGACGATACATGTGCTACTTGGTCATTCACTTGGAATGATTTTATCCCCACTCCTCCGTTGTTTTGCGATTATGATTATGAAATGAATGTTATTTGCCTCGTATTACACAAAACAGTAGCAAGTCAAAGTTCGATCGTCTGCCTCTGTGGACAACTGAAGCATGGACCGCTCTTAGCCCTCCCCTTTCCACTGTCCCATGGGTCTTAACCCCTCGTAAACAGAAGTCAACAACAGGTAATATCTACTAACATGGCCAACAGTCGTCCACTGTTGTGGTTATTGTCGCGTTGCTGTTGCTGTGCTGTTGCCAATGTTGCTGCTCGGTTTCGCCGATGTTGCTGTTGGGCTTCGATGTTGTTGCTGCTGTTGTTGCTGCCGCTGCACCAACGTCACGTCTTTCTCGTGCAGCGCAGTCGACTGACTCTTAACAAAATCGCTGTTGGCGCCGGGTATAAAACGGATGAGTCGCCGCCTGTGGTTATCAGTCATCACCTGACAGTGCTTCGGTTTTTGTATCGCCTTTCGTGCAGAAGAGTTCAGCTCAGCCAATCAACAATGTCCGCCCTGAAAGTTTTCGTAAGTGCGACAAGGATATCGGTCTTAAAAGTGTTTGACAAAGTCATGTAAAACCCTCCATTCGGAGCACAAAAAGGATAAAATTCAAGTGGACTATAGTGAACAAATTTTAACGATCAAAAATACAAAATTTACAAAAACAAAAATCAAAAACGACCGTACTGAAAAAATATAAAATTAAAAAATATTATAGGATTAACAATTATAAAAATTCTTAAGTCGAAAATGAAAATAACTATTTGTAATTTGTAGTCAACTTTATGTATTGTGTTTTTCTTACAAAGAATTTCATTATCATTGACTAATTATAAAATATGTTTTAAGCACAGAATCTTAAATTATTTTATATATTGTGTATTAAACAATTCGCAGTCGATAGTTTCATTTCACGATTGCTTTCAAACTATAATTTTTAATTTATTTATTTGTTAAGCCAAAAAAACAACAAAAATTTTATTAATTAATTTAATTTTCTTTAATTTTAACCATAAAGTTCAAGCCAAATAAGATGTATGTGAAAGGCCTATTTCTCTTGAGATTTTTATATTTGCGGATATTTTTATATATATTTACTGCTGTGAAAATTGAATATGCAGCTATTAAGTAGATATCAAGAGCAGTTATCTAACAAGCTCCAAATTAAAATTAATTATACTGATTAATTTGCCACATTTTATGTAAGCTTTGCACTTTGAAATCGGACTGAAAAAAAACACTTCCTTATCCCCTTTCAGATCTTCGTCGCCCTCTTCGCCGTGGCCTACTGCGCCCCCAGTCCCGGCTTCTTTGGCAAACAGTGAGTATCTCCGGTCGATCTGCACCTGAACTGATCCATAAATAACCCGAGCGAATCGATAAAAATACCCATTTCCCGTTTTATGCTAAGCTAACGAGCGGTCGCATGGGTTTTTAAACGCTGCGACCGGGCACTATGGGCATACACTCGTAAAATATGTGTCCGATTGCGATCGAATTGAGCAATCAAAACGCTTGTAGCACTTAGAGTGCGACCCGCTCCAATCGCAGCGACTACCATTGAACTTAGCCGATCTTGGCTTGAATCGCGACTTAGGAATTTTACACAGGCTGCGGTTGGCATTTAATACATTGTAATGCGCGCATAATTGTGCGAATTAAGTGCCAATTCCGATTGGCTGCCAAGACGCTGGGTTCAAGCAACTGATTAGCTAATGTGCGATGGCTATACATATGTCTGCCAATCTGACCGATTTCACTTTCGATCCGCAGCGAGCACCACACCATTCACGTGCCGTACAAGGTGCACACGGTGCATCACCACCACGTCCAGAAGGTCCACGTTCCGGTGGTGAAGCATGTGCCAGTGCCCATCTACAAGGAGGTTCCCGTCCATCACGTCCACCACGAGGAGATCCCGGTGCCGGTGCACCACGTCCATCACGAGGAGGTGCCCATCCACCATGTGTTCGATGACCACCACGATCACCACGGCTGGAGCTCCCACCACGGACACGGCTGGCTGTAAGCCGACCGTTTGCTTGATTGTCCGTCAACCCACCCACTCAGTCAGCCAGTTCAATTAAAAAACCTGCCTGTAAATATTGTACAATGCCTAAGTTAATGAATGTAAATAAAATCACAATTCGACTGTACACAGAAAAATCGTTGTGCTTTTATTGATCTATTCAACATTTTAAATGGTTTCTCAGTGCTTAAAATAATCAGTATTTGGGGTCACCTAAACTCCGCCTGTTTTATGGGGGAATATTGAGTTTGAAGTTTGTTTAGTAGTCCGAGCGTTCTTTCTTGTTAAACACTTAACGTTTAACGTTATAAGAATCTCTTTGAAAACAAAATTATTTTATTCAAAAATTCACCGATCAAAGATTTTGGGTTTATCAAAAGCCACTTTTTTATAAAGGGAAATGTTAAATCATAGGATCAGGATAATATAAATTTTATTAGCTAACAGATATTAAACATATATTAACAAGAATCAAAAATGACAAAGGGTATTATTAAAAGAAACAATAAAACATTTTTTACTTGATTTAATTTTAGTAATAAGCCTAACAATTGTTCAAAAACTTTGGTCCCTCGAAGTTTCTTAAAGGTACTCAATCGTTAATCAAATATGAATCCGCAATTTTTAGGTACGGCCATGAAAGTTTCCGGGAATTCATTCAATAAATTTTAAAGTTAATGCTATATGCAACATTATTAAACATGGCTCAGTAAACTGTTACCTTGGCTCCAACATTTTTGTATAAATGCGTTCAAATAAATCTAGGAATTCAAATATTAGTTTTCACACATTTTAGCATTACATATGTTTATGAAATTACTCTCATCAGTTGCATGTTTTTTTGCCACCCAGTTGAAAGTCCCTAAATTATAGCAGCGCCCAAAAAATGAGGCCAATTTCGATTGCACGCACGGGTCAAATTGCTCGGGAATGTGATCGTTTCATTAGTTAATCCCATTGCAAGACTGTAATTGGCAGTTGCACTTGACCTTGGGCTTGCCTCCCGAAGGCGGCAATTAAGCCGAAGTTTTGCAAGAACGACTTTCACAAAGCACTCACTCGACCAGCTCCGACTGAGGTCGACCACCAGTCCGCTCCGCTCCCTTCCGATCTGCCCCGATTCGATGCGATCCGGTCCGGTCACTCCGCTCCTTGCCCACGTAATGCTGCAAGTCAAGGGCGTGGCAGGGTGCATTCTCGGGGCATGAGAGCTGCAGTTCCTAGTTCAGTTCCACGTTAAAACTGGTCCTAGGCCAATGGAAAATTTTAATTTATTAAATATATTGAAAGTACAATTGGTCCCTTTTACGTTCATTATTTTATTTTTTAAATTGGGTTCAACGAAAAATGTAATTTTTTTTTGTGATCTTTCTACTTTTTAGTAAGTTTTTTTTTTTTTGACAGCTCGAGGTTATTTTTCGTGTAATTACAAGTTTACAATGCCCTTTATTTGTTGGTAAAACATTTTCCCTGTTTTATTTGATCCTTTTACAATGCTACCATGGCTCTTCCTTTTCTATATTTTAAATAAATATTTTGTATAAAAATATTTTAATGTTTTTTATTTTAGCATTTAACGTTTCCTTTCAATTTTTCTACGTTTATTTGGTTTTATCTCTTTTTTTTGTTATCTTTCTGAAACCAATTAATCATTACTTTTTCCGAATTAATAATGGTAAAAGGCCCATGAAGGAGTGTTACATAGATTCCAAAAGTAAAGGTCAAGTTTTGAATGTAAAAATTCTTAAAGAAAAGATAGTATTACAATTCCATAAAATTAGAAAAAACATTTACTTGATGTAACCAAATATGTTGTAAATACTTTTAAGATCATATTTGGTAAAACATTAAAATTGTTCCGTTTGTTGTTTTGGGAGTTCTATTTATGATATCCAAATTCCCATCGAATTTATAAGACTTCGGTTGAATTTGGATTTCCATAGTGCTTAGCGGACTAAGACCATTTAACCCCCTCATGCCATATAAAGTCGAATTTCTTTGACCAACATTTTGCATATATTTCGGCGCCAACAACAAAGAATTTCAGATTAATGTCCACTAATTGAGAACTGGGAAAGAGCGAAGCGTTAGAGGAAGCTGCGGCGGATGGCCGCCAGTGGGAGTGGACCGACCGCCCTAGTTGCAGTAGGGGAAGTTGGGGCACTGGTGCGGCGAGACTCCGGCGGGATAGAGGCGCTCCGTCCATCCGGGCAGCGGAGGAGCAGCGACCGGGGCACCGGCGTGTCCGGCATTCACGTCGCAGTACGGATAGTTGGGGCAGGTCTGAGGGTTGATGCCAGCCGGATACTTGTCGCCACCGGCGGCCGGAGCCGGAGCCGCGTTCCACGAGGGCTGTGGCTGCCATTGGGGCTGTGGCTGGGGGTTCCACTGTTGCTGCGGCTGCTGCCACTGGGGCTGCGGCTGGGGGTTCCACTGTGGCTGCGGCTGCTGCCACTGCGGCTGTGGGGCACCCCACTGTGGCTGGGGATTGTGCAGGCGCGCATTATCACAGATGGGGAAGTTGGGGCAGTCCTGGGGATTGACGCCAGCCGGATATTGGGCAGCAGGTTGATGCTGTGGCTTGGCCACCGCCAGAGCCACAAGGGTAGCGAAGAGCTAAGAAAGAAAACATTCAATGGATTATGACATGGATATTCAAGATATGGCAAAGACATTATAAAAACAAATAACTTGAAGGTAACCAAAAAGAAAGTTAGATATACTTAGGACATAATTATTGAACTTTTTGAAAGAGATGATCAATTAAAAGGCTTTTTGAAAACAAAAGGACATTCTTATAATATTAGAAAAAATATAGTTAAAGTCCTAAATTTATGAGCAAGTGCAATATAAATTATTTAAGGACATTATTACTCATTTTAAAAATGGGTGGTCAATAAAAATAGGTTTTTAAAAAAAATAACAAATTTTCATAATACTGAAAAATGAGAGATAACTATATCTATGCTGACAAAAAATGTTAGAAGCTTAGAAGTTTATTAAAGCTTTAATTTATATAATTATTATAATTTTTAAATTATTTTAATTTAACAATTCAAGATCAAATTTCAAATTGGAAATTATTTATTTTAATTTAAAAATTCAAGATCGAATTTCAAATTGGAAATTGGAAATAGGATATTAATCTTATATCAGAAAAGGCAGAATTAATAAGAACTCATTTAAAAAAGATTAAACATTTTAAGAAACGAATATTAGTCCAGTGATTTCGGTGGAGGGAACTATTTTCAGATCTTAGCCTTGATCGCAGCCTGGTTCAAAGGGCACTTACCAGCTTGAAGAACATGTTGGCTGTGTTGAGTGGGTGGGGGTGGTGCTTAAGTTGGTTCTGGTGTTGGGGGCTATATGGTAATCCTTGGCCAAATTGGACTATGAAGTCGTAGCTCAAACTTCCAATTGGGTTCCTGGTCAGCGCTGCACTGCTGCTGCCGAGCCCGGCCATCAAGCTTATATAGCTGACTGATGCTGGCTAGAACCGACTCTTGGCCGGGTCTCAATCTCAGCCAGAGTCAGAGTCTCTCGGCCAAACTCGGTTTCACTTTCATTGCTTGTTGCTGTTGTTGTTGCTATTGCTGTAGCTATTTCTGTTGCCACTGCAGTTGCTTTACTTTACTTTTGCTTTTGCTTTTGTTTTTGTTTTTGTAGTTGACTGATCTCGCGCATATTTTACTTGATTGGCCCAACAGATTATTATGAGTATGAGTCTTTGTTGTGGAGCGCGGACAAATAAATCGAACGGAGCCGACGGACAGGCTTATATGTTTATACATATCTGTGTATATACGGGTAATATGCTTAAACACCCAACTATGCAAACACATACGAATGTGCACTTATATCGAGTTACCGACATGCCGTCATTAGCAATGAACTAAGCCCCCAACTTGCATTTGGGCCAAAAAAAAGAAATCTGTACATTGTGTGTACGAGGTAGAGTATTTTTGACAGAGCCGCGTTGGCGTTTGGCCAATTTTCGATCCGCATTTGCCAGCCCGGCTCGCTCGGTGGGATCAGTTCGTGAATCACTTTACTCCGATTTGGTTTCCAATTCGGATTCGGATTCGGATCGTGCAGGAGGCACAGGTCGCCATCGCCATCGCCAACGGTTCTGTCATGGTTTTCACTTCCACCATTACCTTGGCATGCCGCTGCCACATGTCGCCCGATTCTGATGCTGGTCTGCCCGGAAGGCAGCGGTGGTCCGAGTCATTGCAAACGGGTTTCGGTGCAGCGAACTTGCACTAGATCTCAATGCACAACATTCGAGAGGCGACGTCGGCCTGGGGTTCACTTCTAGGTTCTAGGGCTGGGCGATATGTATCTAATGATGTAAGTTTTCAACTCAAATAAAACAAAGGATCATTTCTCCATCACTCTTCCAAACCTTTTTTTACATAATCGAGCATTAAATATTTTGTATCATATTTAAATATTTACAATTTAATTTTTTAATTATTTTAGAACTTTTGTACAAAAAATGTAATCAATAAGTATCAAATTTTCTAGGTTTCATATTTCAATAATTGTACGGATTATTTTTATACAATTTAAATTGTACATTTTTAATACAAAAAATCATTAGATAATCTCTTCGTATTTATATAATAATTTTAAGATTTTGTCAGGTTTTTGAATTTGAAACCATGTAGTTTTCACAAGTTTGTATTAACTTCTTTAAGAATTACTGATGCTTTTAACAAGACATTGACTTTAAGGAGTTTAGAAAACGTGCATGCCTTTGATACATTTGAAACTATTTTAAGTTAACCCTAAGTAACGACTACGTTCAACGACCTTTCAAAGCTCGAACTTTCATGTAATTTTCATAGTAATGGTAAAAACTTGTTTAATAAATTTTAGTTTTCGAGCTATGTATTTAAAAGTTGGACTGTAGTTAAAATAGCATAGTTATGTAATTAAAAAAAATTGTTTTTAGTGATTTAATATCATAAACTCTTGTATCGATTCTACGCACCCCATCCCTAGTCTAAGATTTTTCCGTTGGCAGTTATATTTCCGATAACCCGTTATAGGTTGACGGCCGTTCACTCATTCGCACCACGCAGTGCCAGTGAAACTGAACTCGGAACCGCCTTACGCACCAGCGATCGACTTTTCCGACTTCCTGGCCCGAAAGGCTGTGGCAGTGGCAGTGGCTGTGTTGGGAAACGAAATTCAATTACGTGGAAAAGAGCGAAATTCGAACTGCCACACAAATTATGAGCTAATCAGGCAGCGCCCAGTGCCCGCGGGTCGGCACACGACGATCGGGCTTAGGCTTACATGGCCATTGGCCACATATATGAACATGTTATATTGGGGGACAGACGTGCCCAATTGTTGGCAACGGTGTAACAGATTTAGTTTAATTCTTATAATTTGTGTTTGCCGCCAGCCATTGGCAGGAATTTGCGCGGGCGCGGCACCGTCCAATCCACACAATCCAATCCCTGCCCCTCTGCCCCGCTGCTCCACCACGATCACTGCTACACAGAGAAAAATTATGGTTGTTTTTAATATATGTATATAAATTTATTACAAGTTTTTGGGATCCAAACATATATTTGGCCATTTTTACTTGGTTTAATTAAATACATAAAATGTTTTGAAAAAATTTATTGACTATTTGGTTTCTAAGACATTATTTCTTTATTTGTATACAATATATTCAGATAAATAAACAATTTTTAATAATGCTCGAAATAGATTGCTACTATTTTTTACACATTTTAAGATTTTTAAATAAGAACTTTTGCCCAACATTTCCTGTAATAATTTAAAAAAAAAATTTTAACAATTATATGTTCAATATGTTATTAACTGATAATAAAAGCAATAATGTTAATGGCTTATCATATGAGAAAATCAATAATGTGTCACAGAAATTTGCTGTTCTTCATACGATCCAAAATAAATAGTTGTAGTCAATTATGTGCTTATTTTCTAAGATAAAATTCAACAGTCAAATATCAATTAGTTGCCAGAATTTGATGATTTTTTTTTTTGTGTGTAGGTGGGCGCTGGTGGTGCTGGTGTTGGCCGGCTAATGCGTTATGTTACGTTGCTGCACCGCCAGATTGCCAGGCAACCAGGCAGCCAGGCGGCGAGGCGGCCAGCCAGCCGATCGATCTCGTTAGCCTTGATCAATGGCCCGGAAAAACAGAATAAAGCTAAATAAAAGCCAGCGAAATTGAAATTGTTGACCGTTCGCATAATGCAGTGTTAGTCTGGAGTTGCTAAAGTCATTCGCATGTGTGTGTTCTCGCGCTTGTAAGTAAGTATCGCTGCTGGCCAAGTGATATCGCCAGCGCTGTCGGGTTTGCCTTTTTTGTCACACGCCGCGGCGTGCTTTAAATTATTATGCCATTAGTTGTCGCCTTATTTTGTCTAGATTTTAATTATCAATTTCCTTCTATGCTGACAGTTGGGGGAGTGGAAGTGGGAGTGGTGCCGCCCACACCTCCGTTGATTAAGGTGGCTAACCCAAAGAAAGTGCTGGCTACTCAAAACAGTATTGTATTCCATTCAATTCAGTTCTTCGACAATAAATTCATAATAACAGATTCTCATTAAAATTTGCTTACCAATAGAAAGTTAAATAAGTAAACTAATAAGCAAATAATCCAAGAATTTTGCTTGACTGGCGCCTTAAAACGTGTATATCGATGGGCTGTGATGCCCTCAGGAGCTGGCCGCCACCTCAGCCATGCTGACATCTCCGGCAGCCGATACAGTCTCCGATGTCTCAGTCTCCATTGCCAAGTCTTCCGTTACGTTGGTGGCCTCAGTATCAGCCTCACTCGATGGCACATCCTGCAGCAGGGCTCTTCGTACTGATGGCTCCTTATCTAAAAGTGTATTGGGTGTTGTTAGTAAAGATAATCTTACGTAAATTCAATTTCATCACTATTTGGTTAGCTAATAATCATTGTAAAAAAAGTTCTAGGTATTTACATTTAAGGAATTATCAACAACTTGTATTAAGTATAAGTAAAGCCTTTAGTATGACCTCATATACTATTATTCATTACTAAATAGAACGTTTAGGAATCCAATAAAATAACTTCATACTGCGATTTCCCCTTTAACTTAAATAAATACCGGAGTCATCGGATGATTCACTGTCTGAACTGTCGTTGCGTTTGGCCGTCGATTCCGAAGGTGCCTCCAGGGAAAGGCGGGGAGCCACGGGTCGCTTCTTTCTTGCCGGGTTAAGTACATTGCAGAAACCACACCTGAAGGTAGTGTACTCGTACTCTTCCTTGGGTAGCATTCCTGCGGATAAAAAACAATAAATTTATTAATATTATTTAATTACACTATTAGTTACAGATGATCTTTTCAAATTATATGTTAATAAAAATAAAGAGTGTAAAAAGAATTTAAGGCTAAAAAGATAGTGGTAATCATAAAGAATAGTGTCATTCAATTGGCCAAGTTAATTTAACTTTTATAAAATAATGAAGTTTCTCCTCACATTAAAAATAGACAATAATCGAACATTGTTACTTCAGCAACTTTAAAGTTGTCTATTTATATTTCCTAATTTAATTGTGACTTGTAGGTTAAAATTACATGTTAAGGTTTTAATTATGCAACAAACATTTCTTCATCATAAGCGTAAAAAACTTGTTTTAAATTGATATTAAATGAGCTTTTTGTGTATTCTATTCAAGTCTTTGCGTTTAACCCTAGCCAAAATAGGAATGAAAGCGAAAGCCTAACCGGTTTCTCAACTTTTAAGTGCAATATGTTTCTATTTCGAGTTTAAGAACTTCTTCAGCAGTGGTTGTAACCCACCGTTGTGGGCGTGGCACGCCTTGCAGATCATGCCGTATCGATCCTTTGGACTGTCACCCACGATGAAGTCCACAATGCGATCCAGAGCACTTCGCGATCGATCGTCCACGATGGGAAAAGGCGATCTTCGGCGTAATTCTTGAGTGGCGCGCAACTGAGGCGATGCTGACGTCATCGGTGCCAGTGAATGTGAGCTGATGACGCTGCTATTTAGCGATGTATTGTTGTTGTTATTGTTGCGGTAGACGCTGGTGTACGGTGCAAGCGATCGCTGCTGTCCGCCGGTAGTTGAAGTTCGGGCGGCAGCGGCGGCGGCGGCGAGCTGAGGAGACCGCTCGGCGACCAGTGAACGGTTGGGCGTCGAACCGCTCTGAAGACCGCTGATACGGAGCTGCTTCTTATCGCCGAATCGCTCCAGGAGATTCACTGCCACCTGTGGAATGTATTTGTAGTATAACGTTTATGTAGCTTATAATTATTTTGTAAGATCTGAATTCGCAACTGTGTTCTTTTTTTTAGTGAAAGATACCTTTTAAAATATCAGAAACTATTAAAAACAATTAAAAAATAGTTTAACAGTTAAATTACAAGATCTGTGGTCTTATTTGGATTTATATGCCCCCAAATAAAGACAAAGTTACTATCATTATTTCCCCCTTTAAGTAATTTAATAATAAAATCTACCAAAAATTGAGATGAGGTCTCAGTTCGTTTAATGAAGTTTAAAAAGAGGGGGCTAAAATAAATAAATAGGATCTCTAAGTTCACCAAATTTAGAAGATGTAGTAATGGCATCGAAATCCTTGAAATGACATATAAAAAAGTCTTTGCTAACAAACTTTTTTGTCTCAAATTTTTGTTTTACCAGCGGTGCTACAAAAAATCTATCAAAAACTCAGAAAAGAGCTCCGTTTTTTTTTTAGATTAAAAACAGGGCTTTGTAGATATAGGAGAACTGTAGACCCACCTTATAAGTCTCTTTGTCCATGACCTGCTCCAATATCTTGCGCTTCTGCTCCTTCAGACAAGCCAGCTTATCGCCATTTTTGTTGAGCTTGCGCTGGAAGTACCACGTAAACAGCCGCCGCAGAAAGATAATGCTAATTGGGATGTCGGGAAAGATGGGGGTCAAACGAAAACCGGATGCACTGGGTGGGTGTATGTGGGCGATACTCACACAATCGGAAAGAGGAGCAGTGGAACCAAGTACATGAAGCACTCCTGGACCGTGGGCGGAAAATAGAAGAAGTACCAGAGTCCGAAGCCCAAGATATAGGCGCCGATGGTGAAACCCACAAAGTTAGTGACGAATCGCCGTTTCCGCTCCTCGGTGTTGATCATGTACTTCTCCAACGCCTGGATCTGCGTCTGCAGCCCCTCCAATACCGCCTCCGTAGACTTTTCCTTCTATAATTAGATTCGTGGTTTCACGGACACATCATTTTTGGGTCTTAGTATATTCGCAACCGGGGGCAAATCGGCGGAGGAGCGGCCATCGCATATACGCACCCGGAACTTGGACAGCACGAATCCCATGGTGTATCGGTAGGAATTTAACTAGAAACGATTAAACTTAAACATATACTGGGCTTTTTTTTGCCATTAAACCGCCCGCTTGCCTAGGAATTATTTGTCGCCCAGCGTGACCGTGGCTGTACCTTTCGAATAGACCGTGGGAACCAGAAAATAAATACCTAAATACCAAATCGCAGACTCGAACCATGGAAGAACATTTTAATGGAAAGCAGCGTAGATTTGAACCACATGGGAGGCCTTTCAAAAGCTGAAGCAAGGCAATTTTTGATTATTTTAAAAATTTAATAAAATAAGGTTTATAATAAATTTTTGAATGTTGTCCTTCTGATAATTTTACTTGGTAATTAAAGTAAGATTCAAAGTCAATTTGGTCATACTATTCTTCTCGAAACACAAACAAAGTACAGCCAGATAATTGTACAAATGGGTCTTCAACTATTTTCTCCAGATTTTACATGTACCCTTTTAGTGAACCTAAAAATAAAAACAAATTTTCAAAGCTATCACTGCTAATAAAATACAAGTGTTTAGTTTAAAAATATTGCACTATCGTTAACTTTGTTTGTCAGTGAGACCGCAGCCGCATTTAGGTATTCCGGCAGTGCTGGAGGATGGCCACACTGCCGCGGGCACCCGCCGACGGTATATTTGAAGGCGCCCGCCTCGGTCACACTGCATTTTGTATTTGCCGGTTGTTTGGATCGCAGGTCGAATCGGAAGGCTCCGCGTATTGGTTTCGTTCAGCGCAAGTTGCTTCGCCGCGAGTGCGCCAAAAAAATTGCAAAAATTCCTAGATTTGTGTGTGGGGTGGTGGACCCAAGCCTCAAGTGAAGCCCAGTCATGATGCCGCTGCCGGAGTCGCAGTCCTCCAACTGGCAGCTGGAGGACTACGCGTTCTTCCGTAAATGCGGGGAAATCACCGCCTCGCCGGACGTCCAGAGCTTCGGCTTCAACTGCGCCTTCTGTCCGGCGATCTGCCTGCAGTTCTCCGTGTTCATGGACCACATCCGGGTGCAGCACACCCAGGACATGAGGCGGCGCTACGAGTCCGGCGAGGAGAGGAGCCAGCAGCAGACCCAAACCGATCTGGTGATCATGGAGCTCGACTGTCCGGAGATGTATCCGTTGCAGGAGGGCCACAAGAAATCTGGCAGCTGGGAGGCGGCCACGGCGGCGACGGACTTGGACATCCAGCTGATGAGCCTCGTGCCACCGACTCCCGCACTGCATATAGCGCCATGCCAAACACCCGAAATAGACTTGGTCTATGTGGTGGAAAATCCATTGCCACCCTCGCCTCCACCCTCCGCTGACATTTCGGTGGACGAACTGCCGGGCCACTGTCTGCAGTCCTTCGACTTGGATCCCTTCTCCATAATGCACGAGGTGGTTACGCTGACTCCGCCCACGCCCACCGTCCCACCACCAGCGGTACCAACTTCACTGCCCCGGTACGAGACACGACGCGTGGTAAGTTAATCACCAAACACCGCTGCCTATTCCCACAGGTCACAGTGAACACCTGCTAAATTAGTCAGTTGCAATTCGAAACAATTTCTTTTGCAAAAAAAAAAGTGTTTTAATTACAAACACTTTGATTTTTTATGTTAAGGTTAATCTTGTATTTGCTTTAGTAAAGGGCCTTCAAAATTAAACATTCAATGGTTATGTTGTTAGTATTGCAAAATATTCTTTGAGTTTAAAAATATTTGTATTTTAAAAGAAGTATTTTACTATTTTGTGGCTGTTTGTTAAATTTTGAATATTCAGTTTTAAACAAATTTTAATGTAAAAATTTACAGAATAATATTTTTTAATTATTGTTCGATTTGTTCATAATATTCTGAAGAAATCGCGGTTCATTTGGTTGTCTAAAACTAAATATGTTATATACTGTTCAAAGCTTCAAATGAATATCTTCGTTTTTAAATTTGAATTAATATTTAATATTTCTATAATATGTAAAAGATAAATATTTAAAATTTCACAACTAAAAATTTATATATGGCCTTATAACAATCCCATACATTTTTCCTAAGATCTTTTTAAAATACTTGAAGATCTGTTTGCGCATAAATCATACCTTAACAATGTACCCATACCGGTATTTTACTGTCTGTAGTTTTTGCTTTCCCCTTTTTCATGCGATTTTGTAATGCAAAACGGCTTTCCGTTTGCTGTCAGCATGATGGAGTGAGGGAGGGAGAGGGTTCGAGCAGAGGGGCGGTGGGCGCAGCAAGTTCCGGAGAAGGTTTCCCCTGGTCACTTGACCTTCAAAATAACGGCGCAATGGCACACAACACAAAATATTGAGCAAAAAGTGTGTCGCGCATTTTGCGCGCTCATGCTTCTCATTTCTTCTTGTCTTCCCCTTTTTAAGTCCCGTTTGCCGTCCATGGACTTTTTTGTTTTTATATATTCTTTATTTATTTTGGAGGGGCTGGTTTGTCAGTTCGCCAATCTGTGAGTTTGTCAGTCTGTCAGTTACCTTGCTATTTTCGATGATTTTTTTTTTCTGTGTTCCAACGCGACGCAATTTTTCAGCCTTTTCTTCAGGTTTCCACTTTTGTTTTGTTCCATTTTTTGTGGACATGAAAATGTCTGGGTCGGAAAAAAAAAACAACCAAATCTTTTGTTGTACGTTCAAAGCGATTTATGTGCTAAAAAAAAATATACATACATATAGATATGGGGCTGAAAAACACTCGATATTTGGGACACAAACATTCAGTGTTTTGGAAAACAGCTTGTCATATTTTCTTTGTTTGGCGGAGGCCTTTGCTCCGTGGCCGATTTTAAAAATAAATGCCTATTAAATGGTAATTAAAACGATTATTTATGTCAGCGCGGCATATATGGTAAAATTGTAAATAACTTGTGGATGGTGTCACATATCCTAGGATATAAATACATATGTTTATCGCAGAGTTTCGAGACACCGTCTTTAATGTATGACATTGTATGGCAATTACTAACTCATTTTGTGTTTTTTTAAAGCAATGTTTTTATGTACCTATACATTTAATTTTATTTTTCTGTTAAAAAAGGTACTTAAAATGTCAATAAGTTAGACTTTGCTTTGACAGGCATTTCTGGCAATTTATATGTACCAATACTATTAACTAATGCAATGTGATAATCAAATTTTAAGGCATCCAGACAAAAGATGAAAAATCTTGCTAAATCTTCAATAATTTGACGTGACGCAGTCTTATTAGTTTTCTTTTGGCCAAAAATAGGCCAGATCCGTTGACGTAATGTAAATGCCAATAAATAATATGTCCACACACGAGATAATTTAATAATAATTAAAGGAAAATAGTACGAATAAATATGAGTGGGTAAAGTGGATGCATTTGTTGTCATTATCGACCAGATAAAAGTCCAACAAATAATGGTTTTTTCGTAGAGCAGACTGTTAGAATGTCGGTTATTATTATCGTCCACTCGATATCCGGGGAATTCAGCTGTTCTCTCGGAAATACAAATTGAAATATTGATAAAAATGATTTTCTATGTATTTGCCCGTAGGCTGCGTACACGGCACTTGCAATACAAATTATTGGTAATTTCGTTGTTCTTCTTTTTTTTTCGGTTGTGCCATTATCAGCCTTGGGCAAGCTTGTCGGCCGACATGGAGCTTTATCTAGACCCCAAAGAGGTAAACAAATAGGGGAGTATTATCTAAGCTTCGATTTGGTAGGCATTCGTAGACATAACGCTAGCCACAGTGGGGCAGGATATAGCGACAGCAGAGTGAAAATAAAATTATTTTGCTAATAAGCGAATTCCGCTTTTGGCTGATTTACGAACATAAATCGAAATCTCTTAGCAATTGCCTCGGTTTCCTGTTCAAACCACTTGTTGTTAGCGTTGTGCCTATTATGATTTATATATCCATATGCAATATCGACGACGCGTTGCTCTCGCCACTTTAAGTAATTTAAGATACATACGTCCGATCGATCGATCGATCGATCGTGGAAGTCGTCGCCCGACCCAGACAACCCAATCAGCCCTCCCCCTTCCGCTCGACCATTATCATTCCAACAAACTCACCGCCCATATCGCTATTGGGGGTAATAAAATAATTTTTAGATTTTTGTCGATATTTGCCGGCTATTGAAAATGGCTTAGAGATAAGAAAGCACGACGGAACTTAACTAAGGAGGTTTTAATGTTCATTTAAACACTTGTAAATTGGAATTTTTAGAGCACCTGCCATAAAACCCCTCACAGCCTATAAATCATTGTCCCAGTTGAGCGACGACTTGAAATACACTTGTTTGGCGATGATTTGGCTGGAATGGCTACTGAATAATGCCCAGTTATATGTCACTAAAATACTAAGTCGATTTCCCTGGAAATCGATTAGTTGTTTGTGTTGGATCGTATTATTATTATCAGACAACTAGTTGGGGACCACTAAACCATTACTAATCCATTAAAATCAAAGCTGTGAGTGCACTGAGAAACCCTCCCATATATCATCGTCCATAATCTAATCTTAAGTCATATCAATGCGTTTCGTTTATTATCTTCCCAGGCGATAATTCGTTTTCAGCATTTCAAAATCTTCTGGTCGGTTCGATTTATGTGGACGTTAATCATGATCAAACAAAAAAAACGAGGACATGTTGACAGGCACTGCTTCAGTTTTTATCGGCCACATCCCATGCGTATTAAATAATTAACAAGTTTAACTAAACATTTCGGCAGGCGGACTTTTGGTGGCTTTCCACCCGCAAGTCGACTCTGATCGATCAGCTGAGGAGGTTTTACAATCAGTCTAATTAAATTAATGCAGCCTTGTGACTGACTCGGACTGAAAAAGTTATTTGTTTAAAGTTTTACAGAGGCGAGCGCATTTTATTTTTTTTGTCAGAAATTGATTGCACTTAATGCCCCCGTATTATCTTTGAATCTGGCTTTCGCTTTGTTTGTTTGCCTTCCCGGTTCCTGTGTGTGTGTGTGTGTGCTCTCTATAAGGTTTCCTATCGGTTTATTTTTCGTCGTTTTCGGTGGGCTTCCATGCCAATTCCATCAGGGCGTGGACGAGTTTTATGCTTGGCCATAAAAGCAAACGAAACCCTGCCACGGGTTGCGTGAAAAAAAAAAAAAAAAAAAAACAAATATTCTTCATAATTTATTAGCTCACGTTGGCTTTATTACATTTGAGTCTCGTGTTCTCCCGGATTTTGCATGTCGTCGTCGTCGTCGTCGTCGTTTTGCCTTTGTTCGTTGTCATACGGCTTGCGGGGGCATAATTTTATATAGCATACAAAAATGGGAACTAAACCTACGTACATATATGGAAAACCAGGCGCTTACCGAAAGCCGCTGTTCGATCAATTAAAGCCCTCCCTTGGGCCGCAAATCAAACAGAGCTGCGGCAAAAAAAAAAACAAAAAAAAACAAAACACAGAACCGAAAACTTGCAATCAACCATGGCCGTAGGAACAGGCACTGACACCATTTGAGGCCAAAGCCTTACAATGGTATTAGATGGTGTATTAATGGGCTTTCCCATGAATCTTTTATTTGCACATGGATCAGGCCCTTGCGCTATATGCATGTGTGTTCCACATTCCTCGTATAATTGACACTCGCTCGGGGTCGGAGCAGATCCGATAATCACCATTTCGTAATTAAAATGTTTTGAAATAAGAGTTTTCGTCAATTAATTCGTAGCATCTTACCATCGAATCGCATCGCATCGCATCATCATCAAAGGCATTTTTGATTGGCGCTGCCCGCATATTGTTATTGTTATTCTTATTGTTTTTGTTATTGTCTTGCATGGTGACAAATGCAATAAACAATAGCTTTTAATTGAAGAAGACGATGACGCAGCTGCTCGCACCCAGAATTGGTCTAGACTGGCCTTGTTTGACCCATGGATTCCCGACTTTGATATGGGCCGCATTGCAAGTGCGCTTAATCAAAGAAGTTAACTATATTGTGTTACTAGCTAACAACACTACTTACGAGTTTGACAAGTTTCTTTTTAATAAATTAAATTCTCTTTTGTCTCATTTATGAAGGCAATCGTGTATATGACCTAATAAAATAATAAAATTAATAATATAAATTTATTTTTTTATGGGCTCTTATTTATTCATTGATAGGGAAAGCTTCAATATTACCAACTTATTTTTTTACTAAAGAACGGAACCCAAAAGTCTAAAGTTCAGCGTTTTAGAACTCCTACAAAAACATTCTGTGGCTTAATATCGATTTATGGCTTCATCGGTTGATCCATTTCACTCTTTTATGTTATTTTCCCTTCTTGAGCTTGCCTTTCAAAACTCAGACAGTTCTAACGACCAGTTTCGACCCCCTTCGATTGAAAAAAAATGTATAAATAAACATAAAGGGGGAAAACACTCAACTAACTCAATAAGATTGCTCTGCGATCGGGTTTCAATATACATACATCGAGAGAAGTACACCCGGGAACACACTGCGCTGCTGGTCTTGTTTATTGAATTTTTATGCAATTTTGTTAACTGGATCAATTATTTCAATTGCGTGTTCGGTAAACACAAGTTGTGACGCACTCCCCGGACAATTCCGGACGTACTCGGGCGGAGTGCGGTGAATTGGGTGGACAAGGCTGTCGACCAGCCACACCCCACAATTGGTGGTTGTCTAGGTGGTTTAAGGGCCACCTCGGCTGTCCATCGTGGAGAGACAAAACCAACTTTCGATGGTCAGCGAGTCGTAGGTGGACGTAGACGAGCCTTTGTTTGCCCCGTTCCGGTCGACAAATGGCTGGGTCTTTTGTTGCGCCAATATGTGAAAATGTGATAGAAAAAGGGAGAGTTTAATGGAGAAAACTAGCACTAAAATACCCTTGTTGCTCCCAAAATTATTGACATCTGAACTTCATAAATATTATGATTATGTATATATGTATTTTAAATAATTTATGTTTCTGTGTTAGAAACAAGGGGGTATATATTTTATAGGGTGTATGCTATAAATAATATATATATATAAAGCAATTCTTAAATTAAATCTTTTATTATATATTTAATTTATAAACTTCAAAAGGAATAAATTAACTACTCTCACAAAGTAAAATCTGCTAAATGAAAAATAAATAAAATGAAATAAAATTACCTGCTTTTCCTGATTTAAAAACTAGTTTTGCAACGATAGTACCTCTAAAAAAGATAAATAAAAGCAAGCGTTTGTGTGTAACCCTAAAAGCTACTAGATCTAAGCATTTTCTAACAGTGGTATAACAAAATGTGTACCCTCTGCATACCCTAACCATTTAAATACCAGGAGAATAGATGAAAAAATATGATATAAAACAGCTGTTCAAGCATTTACTGAACTCAATATGGAAAGAAATGAACCCATGTGGATGTGCAATGCAATGTGGAATGCAGTGCTGGCGGTATGGAACTATTTCCTGTTGCCAGGCAGACACCGACACCGACGTCAAGGTTTGGCAGGGTCAGCAGGGAGCGGTGGGCGTTTTAATGGGTTTACTCTGCTCACCTTTCCGCAGGGCGTCGAGTGGTTTGGGGTCCTTGAGTCCTCCAGTGGGTGTAACCCCGGTTGGAGCTGCAGTGGCTCGAAATGGAAATGTTTTCGCTCGCTTTGCCAGAGAGGAGGGCGCGCAACTTTCATTTCGACGTTTGAAATTGCATTTTTAATTGGGGCCAAGGCTCTGCGTGCTTTTTTCCCGTATTTTCCATTCTGCAATTTTCAGTTATTCAATTAGCTCAGGAAAGTGATGTTAGTTTTCATGTTGTTCGCTATAGGTCAGTACGCTGTTCGATGGTTGAATGATTGGTGGTTGGTGGTTGGTGGTTTGTGTCTGATGGAATGCCATTCGATTAATCAGCCGCCTTTTGGGCCATTAACCCGTTTTTACCATTGATTAATAGGGTATATTTAGGACACAACAGTAGCCGCTTTAACAGAAATAAGGTTCCATTGTTTTTGTAAATAAGTGTTATCCATAAAACTTTTTCAAAGAATATTACATTCATTTTTCTCGAATAAAAATATTTTCTCAGAACTATTAGTTGCCTGGATCAATAAATGCAAACCTAATAAAGAAAACATTAACTACAACTCTCCAATAACTCCTAATGCTTTTGGAACGCGTTTCACTTTATCTAGGCCCATTTGTGTTATCGACATTTTGTGGGTGGACTTGGGGGACTAATACAAACTGGAATGTATTGACGGAGTAAAATATCGACATTTGTGATGGTCACTGGCGGGTTGCCTTAATTTCAAGACAATCAGGCGTCAATTTCAATTACCAATTATGGCCAAACAAAATACTTGAAAAAAAACCAACTAAAGCAAATATTTAAACACCCTTTCTTATAGTGAATTCTTACATGAATTTATTTATTTTTACGGCAAAGATTTATTTTTCTAAATTATCAACATCAATGAATAATTACTGAAAAAATAAACATTCCTAATTTTTTTTTAGGGGGCATATTAAGTTTTGTTTGACTCCACGCATTTCAATGGGGAACCGGTTAGAACTGCTCATCGTATACGGAATACCGTATGCAATGTTTGTCAGAACAAAACATTTGCATGCGAAAACAAATTTCGATTCGGTTTTAATTTGGGTCTCGCGAATTCTTAATTAGGGTACTGGTATTGCGGGACCTTATCGACATCAGTTTTCAAGTATATGAGGGTAGGTCGGGTTCCATTCTGGGCACAGCGATAAACTTAAAGCACCCCAGGTATCCAAGTTCTTCAAAGTGTACTTTCGAATCTACTTTATGAATCGGATATTATAAAATTTGTAAATATATCTCTATATGTTGTAAGCTGCTTTCGAATTGACTTGAGTATCTACCCAACAACTTCTTACACCCAGTAATCCAAACTATACTTAATGCATGACAGATGCCCTTGAATTATTCATAGACTTCAATTCTTGGGCAGTATAACAATTGCAAAATACGATTAATGAGTAGTTATGGGGGAAGTACTATGTTGTACTTAATACGCTCATCTTCAAGCGAAAACCAAAACAAATTAACAAAAGGGGCAAACAAATGGATACACACATGCAAATACCGGAGAATATATATATTATATGGGAATATAGAAGTCGGCCCATATGCAATTGCGATAAGAACAATGACGACGACACAAAGGCCAATAGCCGCTGATATTCGAGAATCGAGAATTGAGAATCGAGAATTTAGTATCGAGAGCGAGGGAACCGAAGGGCAGACTTTCCCTTTTTGTTTACCACTGCTGTTTGTTTGTACGATTTCCAGCTCTACGATAAACCCAGGGCAAGATCATGTGGCCGGGCACTGCTAATCTCACAGACACTCCACCAATGGCAACTGTTACAAATTTATTTATTTATGCGAAATATTTATACTTCTCTCAATGCAGGCAATGCAGCGCAAGCTTCGTCAGGCGGAAAACGAGAATGCAAAAGATTTGGAGGAGGATGAGGAGGTTGATATGGTGGATATGCTAGATATACTGGATGTGGAGGTGGAAGAGGAGCAGACCAGCGAGCAATTGGATAAGAACGTGCTGGAACTGACGCCGCCTGCCACGCCCCCCACCCCAGTACCGCCCACATCGCCGACGAGCAGCACTGCGAGTTGCGTGGATTTCCAATCGGTGAGTAAACAACAACCGATCTTCACACGATCAGAACATTTTGGGGGGTGTCCAACTCGAGCTACGTATTCAAAAATTGTATTTGCCTTGGTTTTAAATCTCCTCTTAAAATATATCGCTTTCTTGTTTTCATTTTCATATTAAATTACAACATTTCAAACATTTACTCAGATTAAATCCAGTTTTAAATACATAGGTACAATAAAGCTTGACTTTGATGGCAATTTAAAACTTTTAATTGCAGTAACCAATTTAACAAGCATAATGCTTTACTTGAGTTTAATGCTATTTAATGCTATTTTTAGGAAAATGTTAAAACACTGTTTTAAACAGTCTAATTTTAAAAGTTTGTAAAATTTGTTTATTTTTATTTTTTTCAAATTTATAGTAAATCAAAAGAATCTTTCTTAATGTATACACTATTTTAAAATATTTTTTTTTCTCAAATCCGCGATGATTATTAATTTTATTTTTTTTGTTTTTTATTGATTATGCTCAGAAACTAATAATTATTTGTGAGCAAATTCCAAAGCCCACTTCGCTAATGTTTTTAATTTTTAACTATAAGTTAGCTTTATATAAAGAAAAAAAAATTTGTGACCGAAAAAAATATTTGTTCACAAATAATGATTATTTTTTGTGTGATATTAAAAAATATTACTCAATATATGATTAATATTAAAATACTTAGATGCTTTCCTTATTTTAAAAAAATGATAATGTTTGTAATTTTTGCATGACTATATTAAGTGATTTGTAACTATATATATGACAAAGTCTGCTGTTACTCTTTAAGTTATTCGAATATTTGATTAATTCCAGAAAACTCGACGTGAGCTGGAGCGCAATCGTGAATTCGTTGGCTCTTTGCTGGCGGAATATGAGCGGGCGGAGAAGTTGTGGAACCCCCGTCATCCGGACTACAAGTACAATGCCAAGCGGAGTGTCTACGGCGAGCTGGCTGCTCCGCTGGAGGGCGTCTGCCACAAAAGGCTTTCCGGGGCGGAGATATTCGCAGTGCTGAAGGAGCTCAAGGGCAGATACCGTCGCGAACTGAGCAAACTGAATGCTTTGGGCGGAAAGTACAAGTCGCGGCTGTGGTACTTCGACAGGATGCACTTCCTCAGGGGCGTCATTGAAAACCGGCGAGCCGAACGGGAGGCCAAGGCATGTACTCTCATGACCCACTTTTTATTGTCTTGAATAAAGAAAATACAAGCTCTTTAATCCTTTTAGATCTCCAATGAGGGCACTGAAAGCGAAAAGTCCTGCGAAACGGATGCAGAATCCTGCAGCAAATCAGCATTGTACCGCGAGGTGCTCAGCTTCATTCTGGATGCATTCAAGCGGCTGGAGTGCCTGTGGAATCCGCAGCACTATGACTTTAGCAGCTGCTGCAAGAAGGATCTGTACCGCGAGATATCCGTCCAGTTGCAGGAGGAGCTCAACTACGAGCTGAGCGGCGAGGAGTGCTACAAGGAGATCCAGAAGCTGAGAACCCGCTACCGCAAGGAGCTGCGCATGGTGATCAAGCACAAGGGTCTGTACCTGCCCAAGTTGTGGTGCTACGATGACATGGAGTTCCTGCAGCCCATACTGCAGGAGCAGATCTTCAACAAGATCAGCAAGGTAGTGGTTTATGTTCATTTAAATAGCTTAAATAGCTTAAATAGCTTAAAAATAACTTGTTTTTATATTCCAGAAGGTCGGCGTGGTGGAGACGAACCAGAAGACCAAGTTCATTGATGCCAGCTGCATACAGTTTTCCACCTGCGAGGATCAGTTGCAGTTTGTGGAGATCTATCGCAACTACTCGGCCTTGTGGGATGTGGACCATCCGGACTTCAGGTCGAATGCTTACCGTGGTCAGGCCTTGGGTCAAATGCTGGACGAGTTGAACACCACCTTTCGCACAGCACACTCGTTGGAGCAGTTGGAGAAGACCTTGTTCGAACTGCGCAAGGACTTCTCGGCGCAGAAACGTAAGATACTCACTGAATCTATGGACTCGAGCAGTGTGCCCCTGCTGCATGCCAAGTTGGCCGAGTTCCTCAACCAAAACCTCGGTCCCTTCCGCTGCGACATATGCTCGGAGCTCGTCAAGACCTGCGACCAGTATAAGATGCACCGATCCGGACACGATGGCACCCAGCCCTTCATCTGCACACTGTGCGGTAAGGGCTTTCAGATGCCCTGCAACCTGACGGTGCATATCAGGCGGCATCGGAGGGACTTCCCGTATGCCTGCGAGCAGTGCGACAAGCGATTCGCCACCTCCACGGAGGTGGCCATCCACCTGCGCACCCACACCGGCGAACGGCCATACATCTGCGACCTGTGCGGTAAGAGTTTCAAGACCTGGTCCTTCTTCGACATCCACCGGCGACGGCATCTCAATCAGTCGACATTCCATTGTCCCATCTGTGCGAAGGGATTCTACGAGAAGAATCGCTTCACGGACCACATGAACTCGCACTGGGCGATCCGTAAGCATCTGTGCACGGTGTGCGGCAAGACTTTCACCACCTACGGCAACCTCAAGAAGCACACGGAACTGCATCTGGCGGTGAAGAAGTACAAGTGCAGCACGTGCGGCAAGCGTTTCGCTCAGTTCGCCAGCCTGCGATGGCACAAGAAGCGGGAGCACAGCTCCGATGGCCAAACGGAATAGAACCTGTCTCCTCGGCACTTCACAATATTTGCAGGGCAATCGTAAGGAGTTAGTTGTGTGCCCCTGTACTTACAGATAGTGTGTACCTATCATATCGTTAATCTAGCACTAAGTAATGTACAATATTTATTTGCTGTTCAAGAGCGTCTGATAAATGGCCACAAGTGTGTTGCTTTTCAAGTTCTGTAAGCTTTATCAGACGATTAGCCACGCTTGTAACTGGTTTACGAGTCGCAGAACCCAAAGTCATTGAAAGTGAAACCAAAAATATACATACATATGCATTAAGCAAAGTCATTTGGTCAGTTTGGAATGTTAATAAATTTTATAGAATAGAAATTTGAGAATATTAAAAAAAAACTTCAACTGGTTATAGCCAGTTGGATCAAGTATTGCCCGGCATGTATAACTCTTTGCCAAAGTCGTAAATCGATTTTAATTTAGATACCGCCCCCTTTGGCTTATTTACCGAACGTTTATTGACTCCAATTGAGCGGCTCCAGTCGCCCGATGAAAGTGCAAGTGACAAATACAAATATGCGATCGAGGAATCTCGCCAGCATCCAGAGTTATTTCATTTTTATCGGCCCAATGCACACACACTCAATTAGATTTCATTAAATTTTTGCAACAGAGCAAATTACGAGTACGCCGGAAAATGAAAATTAATTGCACCCAATGACTTGTGTGTGTGTGTGTGGGTGTGTGTTCAAGCAAACAAAAAGTCTAGAGCGATGTGCAGTGAACTGTAACAAAGTAATTACCCAATGAACAGGGCCACAAACAAAATCGAAAGCCAATCAACTGTCGCAAAGAAGATACATTAATGGGTTTTGGCACCCAAGTGAGATTTATATACATACAAACATAGTTAAAATTAACTGACTTTGGTAATTAACTTGGGTTCCTGGGCGTTCGCTTTGCCTTGAGCAGGTCCTTCAGCTCCATTTGGCTCTTGGGACGGATGAGCATCTGCACGGACTTCAGGGATCGAAAGCTGTACCACGGTTCCCAGTAGATGCTCTGGGCATTGTCCACCTCGCCCTTGAAGTATTTGCCATTCAAATTGCTGCGGAGGGGAATTGGAATAAAAATTGATAATTTAAATAATATTTAAGATTTGAAAAGTACATTGAAAAAACAAAAACGGAACTCTTAGTCGATTATCACGAATTTTAGATACCTTTTACTCAGCTAAATAAATTCAAAATAAATTTGCCTCAGAAAACAATCAAATATTAGGGTGGCGCCATCTACAAACAAATTTACATTTATGGTTGATGCCTTCTAAAATAATAATAGATTCAATAAACTTATAAAGCTTAATAGGCGGACTCTAAAATGTCTCAGAGAGATACGACAGACTTTCGCGATTAGTGGGTGTTAGAGTGGGCGTGACCAGATTTTGAAATAAACTTGCGCTGCGTAGGCATAACTAGAATCTGCATTTTAAATCCAAAATCTTTAGCTTTTGTAGATTCCGAGTTCTCGACGTTCATACAGACAGTTAGACAGACGGACATATAAAAATTGCCAGTTACAATTCGTTATTCACAGGTCAATAAACACGTTTCATTTACATTTAATGTAAATAAGATATTTAAAATTGGTAATTTTATGATTTCTCTCTGTTACTCGAACTTATCAAGACCAAAACGAATCCGAATTCCATCAAACGTCTATATTTTCTTGTATATTTGTTTTTCTGTGTAGTGTTGTCAAAAAAATTAAATTTTTTAAAAACCAATGTTAAAGATAAGAATGAGAATAAATTTATTTGAATGAATGAATCGTTTAGCTATTAAGTTAAGTCTCCCAAAAAAGAAGAGATAGCAAGCTGATCACCAATTTTTGTCATATTTTCTATCAATTGGTCTGCTTATTGAGTTAAAAGTATTATTTTGATAAGATAAAAACATCATTGTCACATATCTGAGTTGATAATTTAATAGGTGACTGAAAATTCTATTTTTATTTATCATTGCTGGTAGATCAAAGAAAAAATCCGTACTGATAGATTGTTATGGCAATAGTGCTATTTTTCAAATATATTTGTCACTCATTCTATATTCTAATATCTAATCTTAGAAAGCAATGACCTTTGATGATATATGAAGTGTATAAAGTGTAACAATATTTCTTGTTTTTACCCCATTACCTGCGGGAACAGAAGTCGTACCACCAGGCTCCCTGATGATGTTGCGCACAGTTCATGTGGGTGAAGGCATCGTTGTCCCGGTCGAAGGTCGAGAACTTCATCTTGTCGTGGGTGCGCAACGCATCGCTGGCGTTGCCCTGATAGTGACCCAGCAGCTTCAGTTCGTAGCCCTCCTCCGCACTGCCGATAAGGAAGTCGTCGTAGTGGGCATAGCTCGTCTCGCCGCCGAATCTCCTGATGCTGATATACAGTTCGTGTGGCTGTGATGTGACCAGGCGGTATAGTTTCTCCAATCCGATCCAGAACTCGCCGTTCAGCTTGCCAAATCCTTTACTATACGCATCCCAATTCCGGTAGAAGTTCACGGATCCATCCACACGGCGTTGAATGGACAACCAGCCGGGTCCGGCGGCCGTTTGGCCCTCGCAGGCAACCAGGAAGGGCAGGAATCCGGGCAGGTGGATCAGGTGAATGCCCGGATAACGACCATAGGGCATACAAGTCGTGGTGGCCGCCTCCCAATCCGCCAGCAAGTCGTCCTTCTTCTCCCGGAACTTCCCCTCGAAATATACAACCTTGCCCTTAAGATGATCGATTAGCAGAGCACTCGAGGTATTCAGTTTTCTCAGTTCAGTCAGTACATGCTGTTTTCTCTTCAACCTCGTCTCGTATATCTTCACTTTTTGTTCCAGCTCCCTGATCTTTTCATCTTTATCTTTAAGGGCAGCCGTAAATGATGAGTTCTGGGCACTGCAAGCCTGTGTGAGATTTTCAAATTTGCGCAGCAACTCATCGTCCGTTTGGTCCTTTGTTTGCAGTTTGTTAATCTCGTTTTCCTTGTCCTTGATCGTGGCGGCACTCTCAGCTATTCTTTCCATGTAAACATCCAGGAGATCATCCAAGTCGCCCTTACTAATGCGTATTGTCTTATGTTGATCGATGTGCACTTCCGCCAGTTTTTCCGGAGCGACTGTGACATTGGCGATTTGCGTAACATTAGGATTTGTGGGTAATACCTCCTTTAAGGGAGCTTTGGTGGTCTTTGCTTTCGAAACAACTTGAATGGACCAGGCTGAATTCAGCATAATGATCAGCAGTATAAAATAAAATTCCATTCCGAGTGGATTTCAAGAACCGTACACAATAAAAATTAAAATTCAACTGAAATCGCAAGCGAAATGTAGGGAAATGCAGTTGAGCGCAAATCAGGAAACAGTAGCTAATTCTAAGTCAACTGCAGATAAGAAATTCCGAACTTGAAGACTGCTCTTGAACTTGAAGAAGCATACTTTTCGAGCTGACTCACATTTTATGTTTCCTATAAAATAAAAGAAATCAAAATAAAATATTATAATCTAGGCCAAACCTCAGGGACCTTAATAATTAAATGTTTTGTTTTAAAATTCACAGCAGGTTGAATACCTCGCTGTAGGTTTTTTTTTTATGTTTTTCATATAATAACTAATCTTTATAAAACAGAATAGTAATAAAATGTTACCTAAAATATTAATTTTTAAAATGTGTTGTTCGTTTATAAACTGTTTTGAAATTTCCAATTTGAACTACGCGCTCTTCCTGCCAACAAGTTGGCAGTCCGAAACCTACGTTTTTAGGCTGGCAATGCTGTCCGATTTCAACCAGACATTCAAGTATACAGAATTTTTCTAAAAGAAAGTTGATTGTGAATCGAGCTCTCAAACGAATAGGAACGTTTTGAAGTCATTCGAATTTAAACAGAGAAATAAAGTGAATTAAATACCTATTGTGTAGTTTAAACTAATATAGAATGATCTACGGAACAACTGTGAATAGTTGAGAAATTAAAGTGCGGCTTAAACTAAGTTTTAATTGGTGAACCTTTCAATCAAGAAGAACTACGTCAGCAAATTGCCTACAAAACCCTTTATTAACTATTAAAATCAACAGGAAATCTGTTCCTCAAGTGCTAAAATGTGCAATTCACGAGCAGTTCAAGATAAATCAAATAGTTTTGTGCTGAAAAAAGTGTCTGAGGGCAGAACAATGAAAGCCATCCAAAAATGGGGCTCCACGGGGCAAGAAAAAACTTGACGAAGCGCAGCTGCAGCAACTTTTCTCTATATGTTCATGTACATATACATATACAAACTATGGTGTGCATCGGGTGTACAAAGAAAACGAGTCTTTGTTCTGCCCACAAATCGATGGCGATGCGACAGCAACAACTACAACGCAGAGCAGGGTGTGTATTTTTAGGCTCCCTTTCTCCATTTCTTTATTTTTTTCATTTTTACCATACTCCCTGTTTTCTTATCTTCTGTTTGTCGTTTGCCTGCTTGTTCAATATGTAAACAATTATCTTATGGCTTCTTTTCCCCTGCAGATACATACATACATACATAAGTTGAATGGTCTTTTTAAGCCCGACTTGCCTGTGGAACACTCGAAATGGAAGTTTTGTAAGAGGTATGTAGTACCATTTGATCTGGAAAGGGGTCATCCATGCACAGGTCACTAAAAAAACATATAACGACACCATTAAAACTTCGTTTATAGTTTACTAAACCAAATTAATACAATAAATATTTCATTATAAAGTATAAATAACTTAAACTAAAAATGTAAAAGATAGTTTCTTACTTGACCTAAAAATATAAAGTTACTTGCAATACACCAGTTTTTCATTATAAATAAATAGAAAGAACTCCAATATTTCATTTCCCAAGGTCTTAAAATATTAATGCTCAAATGCATTAAGTTAAATTCAACAAACGAAACAGAGCAAACAGAAGTCATTTCATAATATTATTAAACATATCTGTACAACATTTTGTTTAAAATATATATTTTTATTTAAATGTTATATGGTAGTTTAAAAAATTAAATAATTTTAATATGAAAATTCAAAAAAAGTAGACAAACTTTTGTTTTTTTTTTTAATATTTAAAATAAGTTTGGAATATGCTAGGCCTTAAAATCATGTTTAAGAATTCTTAGCAATGTAGAAAACACTTAAATTATTAATTGAGGAAAGTAATAAAAGCCTACAAAGTATTAATAAAGTAATCAAATTATTACAGTGGAATTTATCTACCTTTTATATTATAGAAGAGTAAGTTTTCCTATATTTAGGTTTTAATTTTCTTGTCTCTGATAGTTTCCTAAAATGTCAACCCTTATTGATTGATGACTTACCCACGGGAGTTTCCCTTTGCTGTTTGCTTTTACTTAATATTATCTTATCTTCCCTTGCAGTTTGAACACTCTGAATCACCGAATCGCCAGACACTCCCAAATGTTCTTGGCCCATAAAAAACGATGATGGTCGTCCGAAGATTAGTGAGCTGGACCCGGCAGGATTTGGTATTTATGACTACTATTCTACTTGCTACCAAGCATCCATCGCTAACGACCCACCAAATCCACAAATCAACCACAACATATACTAAGTATATCCCAGGCAGTGAAAAAGCGTATCATGCTACCAACCAATTTGTCTATATCCTGTGTGCATATATATCGTTAGAAGTCTAAGTGTATTTGCAGGTCCGCCAACAAACCAAACCAAACCAAACCAAACTACAACATCGCCACTAATCTTTTCTTTCTCTATTTATATATGCCATATATATACATATATATATGTATCCCATGTCCACATAAATTCCGACTCTGCCCTTATCCCATGACTTATGAACCGTTCGCCTTGCAGTTTCCAAATACCAAACCGCCTACGCCTGCGAAGGTAAGAAACTGACCATCGAGTGCGATCCCGGCGATGTGATTAACCTGATACGGGCCAACTACGGCCGCTTCTCGATCACCATCTGCAATGACCACGGCAATGTGGAGTGGAGTGTCAATTGCATGTTCCCCAAGTCACTCAGCGTACTGAACTCAAGGTAGGATTTTGCTAAATATTTTACCCATACTTACATAAATAAGCCGATCTCTAACTAAAGTTAAGATCCTTTTACACTCAAATGTCAGACAAAGAACTTCAACTTCGAGTTAGGCAAAAAAACATTTCTTTTAAACAGATATGTAAAATTCCGTTTCAAAACGTAGTTCTCTTATATTTTCCTTAAAGTTCATGCCTTATTATTTTTTTATTTATTTTTTAGCTAGAATAAATTGGTTTACTTTGGCAATTTTTTTTTTTAATGTTATAAACCAGGGACCGAGAATAATATTTATGGAATTATAAAAATCATTCTGAAGAATTTGAGCTACGTTTATGTTATAAAGATAAAAATATTGTTTTGATGGTCTTAGCTATTATGTTTTAAAACTAAAATTAAAAATTTAATTCAGATTTGAATGAATATGTTATTAAATTTTTTGTATGAATGTGACATTTTAGGTTTAATTTTTATTACAGACCGTATCGATTTCAACTTTTATTTAAAATAAAAATGTTTTAAAAATATAAATATAAAATAAATAAAATATCTTTTTAATAACGATTATTTGGGAGTTTTATTCATAAACGTTTTAATCGTTACAAATGTTAGACCATTAGATTCTGTTTATAAATTAAATGTAAGATTTGATTAGAAAACGTCAGTTAAATGGTGTATACTATGATTGCAGATGTGCTCACAAGCAGAGCTGCGGAGTGCTGGCGGCCACGAGCATGTTCGGGGATCCCTGTCCCGGGACCCACAAATACCTGGAGGCGCACTACCAGTGCATCAGTGCTGCCCAGACCTCGACGACGACCAACAGGCCCAGTCCGCCGCCATGGGTGCTGAGCAATGGTCCGCCGATCTTTAGCAATGGCAGTGGCCTGATCCATCCGCCCGGCGGTCCACCGCCGCCGCCACGCCTCCCCACACTGCCCGGAGTGGTGGGCATTAGCGGGAATCCCGGACTGTTTAATGTGCCGCCACAGCACACGGCTGTGACCCATTCCACGCCCTCGAGCAGCACGGCAGGATTGGGCGGCGGACGACTCAAGGGTGTGGCCAGCTCGACGACGACCACCAAGCATCCAGCAGGTCGCCACGATGGTCTGCCCCCGCCACCGCAACTGCACCACCATCACAATCATCATGGCGAAGGCGAGGTCGCCGCCGCACCCACCAAGCCGAGCAGTAAGCTTCCTGCGGCCGGAAATGCCACGGCTCCCTCGAACACTCGCATCCTAACGGGCGTGGGAGGATCCGGCACCGATGATGGCACCCTGCTGACCACCAAGAGCTCACCCAATCGACCACCTGGCCCTGCGGTCAGTGGATCGGCCATGAGCGGCAACAACAGTGTCGTGCGCACCATCAACAACATCAATCTGAATGCCGCTGGGATGTCCGGCGGCGATGATGAGTCCAAGCTGTTCTGCGGTCCCACCCATGCCCGCAATCTCTTCTGGAACATGACCCGCGTGGGTGATGTCAATGTGCAGCCATGTCCAGGCGGTGCAGCCGGCATAGCCAAGTGGCGATGTGTGCTAATGAAACGGATGCCGGACTCCGGCTACGATGAGTACGACGATGATCCTCCCAGCTCAACGAGCTCCACCCCGACGGCCACTGCTAGCGGTGGCGACTGTCTGCACAACAGCAGCAGCTGCGAACCGCCGGTGAGCATGGCGCACAAGGTCAACCAGCGGTTGCGCAACTTTGAGCCCACCTGGCATCCCATGACACCCGATCTGACGCAGTGCCGCAGCCTCTGGCTGAACAATCTGGAAATGCGCGTCAACCAGCGCGACTCCTCGCTGATCTCCATTGCCAACGACATGTCCGAGGTGACCAGCAGCAAGACGCTCTACGGCGGCGACATGCTGGTCACCACCAAGATCATCCAAACTGTTTCGGAGAAGATGCTGCACGACAAGGAGACCTTCCCCGATCAGCGACAGCGCGAGGCCATGATCATGGAGCTGTTGCATTGCGTGGTCAAAACGGGCTCCAACCTGCTGGACGAGTCCCAGTTGTCCTCGTGGCTGGACTTGAATCCGGAGGACCAGATGCGTGTGGCCACATCCCTGCTAACTGGCCTGGAGTACAACGCCTTCCTGCTGGCGGACACGATCATCAGGGAACGCAGTGTGGTGCAGAAGGTCAAGAATATATGTGAGTTGTTACCTATCATTACCCATAGATCATTAGAAAATCGTTTGATTTAGTGGTCAATTCTTCCTGATTTTAATACATTTTGTAGACCTTGTAGACATAGCAAATGGAGTTCTATCTGTGATTTTAATAAACAAAAAATCCAAAAAACTATATTTGTTATATGAAGATTCCATATAACAATTATCTGAGATTTGCCAAACTAAAAAACTTTAACAATTGTCTAAGTTTTGTCAAAATACAAATTCTTAAGAACCGAATTTTTCAGATTCATAAAACGATTTTACTGCTCTTCGATTTTAAAGCAGCATTTCTGAAATATTATAAATCACTATATCTCAAAGTGTATTCATATAAAATAAAAACCAGCAATGTTATAATATTTTTTCATTTATTTTTCCGTCTGTTCCTATTTATGTTGTTGATGCTTAACAGGAATATATATTTTTAGGGTATAATAATGCAAAACAATTATTTTTAATGTTTTTAATTAAAGAAGAGAGTTAAAAAAACATTGTTTTCAGCATGTAGAACATAAATGTAAATTCCTTCATTTTGATTATTAAATTTCAAAATCAATTTTTTGGTCCCTGCTTTTTCGAGACTTATACTTATTACCTAAAACAAATTCCCTTTCAGTGCTCTCGGTACGAGTGCTGGAGACCAAGACCATCCAGTCCAGCGTTGTCTTCCCGGACTCGGATCAGTGGCCCCTGAGTTCCGATCGCATAGAGCTTCCCCGAGCGGCTCTCATCGACAACAGCGAAGGCGGCCTGGTGCGCATTGTGTTCGCCGCCTTCGATCGCCTGGAGTCCATCCTCAAGCCGAGCTACGATCACTTTGATCTGAAGAGCTCACGCAGCTATGGTAGGTTTATTAGATGGCATTGTTAGAGACATATCCCTAATCTTGCCTTAGTTCGCAATACAGCCATCCTGGCCAACGATAGCGATGCGAATGCAGGAGAGATGCAGCAGCGTCTTCGCATCCTCAACAGCAAGGTGATCTCGGCCAGCTTGGGCAAGGGGCGGCACATACAGCTCTCGCAGCCCATAACTTTAACGCTGAAGCATCTGAAAACCGAGAACGTAACGAATCCCACCTGTGTGTTCTGGAACTACATTGACCAGTAAGAATTTTAACGACTTTTTTAAGGATTTGTACCAATTTAGATGTCCTTTTAGTGCCTGGTCTGCCAATGGCTGCAGCTTGGAGTCCACGAATCGGACGCACAGCGTGTGCAGTTGCAACCACCTGACCAACTTTGCCATACTCATGGACGTGGTTGATGAGCACCAGCACTCGCTGTTCACCATGTTCGATGGGAACATGCGCATCTTCATCTACATCAGCATCGCCATCTGCGTGGTGTTCATCGTGATTGCCCTGCTGACGCTGAAGCTCTTCAACGGGGTCTTTGTGAAGGTAAGAAACGGCAACAATCCGCTGCCACATCAGCGGGCGGGCAGCAGCAGGCGCCAGCAGAACAATATACGCGACCAGACCCACGAGTCTTTGACCCTGACCACGCCCACCAGTCACCAGACCAATGTGTCGCCGCCCAGCCATGGCCACACCACAAACTTTATCCAGCACAATTCCATTCGCAATTCGCATCGCAACAATCTCAACTTCAATGTACAGCAGCAACAACAGCAGCAAGTTGTTGCAGCTGCTGCTGCTGCTGTGGTGCTGTCCAATCAGCCGCAGCGCAACATGCAACATGCCATGAACAACTTGAATCTGAATCTGCATCAGCATGGCCAGCAGACGGCCGCTGCTGCAGCAGCTGCTGCCTCAATTGCTGCTGCACTGCAGCAACATGCCGTGCAGGCCAGCAATGCCAGCAACAACCTCAACATTAGCCACAACTATCTGCAGCAGCAGCAGCAACACCAGCAGCAGCAGCAACATGTCCTGCAGCAGCAGCAGCAGCAGCAACATCCGCACCGCAATCACAACCTGAATGTGGACAATGGCAATGGATTGGACAACACCAACAACATCATTATGCAGGCCAACATGGATGACTTACAATATAAGTGGTGGTGGTGGTGAAAAAAAACAAACAAAAAACAAACAGCAGATAAACAAACACGAATTTTAGGCTAGGCTAGGCTCTCTACTAGACTTATGTATTTATGACCAAGAGAGAGAGAGACACATGTGATATATTGCTTAAGTAACTCAAATTGTTGATGACGAAACGAACTCTCTCTGATAGGATTCAAACATAAGACTCAAAAGCTGTGCCGAAAGGCGATGATGATCGCTCTGGATGAAGTGGACAAGGACCCGAGATCCCTGGCCATTAACCATAATAGATCGTTCATCGCATTCCGGTGACAGCTTACACGCGAAGACTCTCCACTTATATTTATGTATCGTAGTTATTTGTCATAGTCTTAAGTTTAGCGCACTTTCCTCCCAAACCGATTATGTGTTTTTTCCCCCTTCGTTTTATTACAAAATCATAACCGTGGCATGTTGTACTTAATTATTTAATCATTTGTAAAACATCCTAACCCCTATTATGTGCATTCATTGTTTAACAAATTTAACCTAGACATCGTCGTACAATTGATTTAATACCTGAAAAACATACTGATTTTCTTTTGTATTTTATTAATTAATAAAATATACAATGTTGCTAATTTTGTCCTGTAAATATTGCATTTTGTGTTTGTTCATTTAATTTGTTGTATATATATATATATATATTTTCTATATGTTGTGCTTGTTTCGTGTCTTGTTCATTGTTTTACTTAATGCGTATAATATTCTTTATTAATCGTATTACTCTTAGTCTTTGAATTTTTCACCACCACCCACCAAAATTATTGTAAATCGAATCCTAAATTAAGTTTGAAAACTATTTTTTCAAAAAGAGAAGTTGAAGCTCTATATATTAACTATTTCGCCTGAACTTCTTGAAACCATTTTGATAACGAATCTTCACTTGTTCTGCTGGTTCTGCTTTTAAAGATACTTATTTGACCTCTGACCTGACCTCACTGTCTCCTCTGTTTATCTTTCCAATCCAGTCTGCCCGCACCTCGATTTATACCAGCATTTACCTTTGCCTGCTGGCCATCGAGCTGCTCTTTCTGCTGGGCATTGAACAGACCGAAACAAGCATTTTCTGCGGCTTCATAACCATTTTCCTCCACTGTGCCATACTATCTGGCACCGCCTGGTTCTGCTACGAAGGTAAGATGGCCCCCATTGTTGGCTTCCACTGTGCAGCTCTGTGCTCTAACCTATCGCCCCTGCAGCCTTCCATTCGTACTCCACCCTCACCTCGGATGAGCTCCTCCTGGAGGTGGACCAGACGCCCAAGGTGAACTGCTACTACCTCTTGTCCTACGGACTGTCCTTGAGTGTGGTGGCCATCTCGCTGGTCATCGATCCCAGCACCTACACCCAGAACGATTACTGCGTCCTGATGGAGGCCAATGCCCTGTTTTATGCCACCTTTGTGGTTCCAGTGCTCATCTTCTTTGTGGTAAGTTTACAAGGCTTTTTTTCATAGAAAAGTCAAAGTGTTTGAGTTTGAGTTAGAAGTTATACATTTGATTCTTACTTTACTTATAATCGACCATAGGGACTTTAAGTTATTAAAATAGTATTTTTATTAGTATAGTAAAGTTTATTGTATAGTAAATAATGTGTCATCAAAAATTGCAAGTCGATCTGAACCAAATTTACAAGCATGTAAAGAAAAAAATCCATCTTAAATTTGTTTTTAACAGAATTGAAATGTTTAAATTCGGTGACCTATATAACATAAAAATTTAATCGATCTTTCTTAAATTTGATACATAAATTTAAAGTTCTTCATCGTTAAGTTTTTTTTTTGGTACAAAAATATTTTTATGTCTAAAAAACAACCGTTGTTTTTTGGCGAAAGATCAAATAAAAATTTGAATTATCATATTTTTAAAAATCCGTCGACTTTAAAGCTATTGCCTGATTCTATTTACACTTTTTATTCCGTATGATCCAGTTTGGTCACCACAAAAAAATATACAAACGTTATAAATTTTTCAAAATTATGCTATAAAAAAATTACTTAAATGTATTACTAAAACTATTTACTTTTACATAAACTTTTAAAAACAGTTTTGTAGTTTTCGCTAAACATATTCCCTATAGTACTCATATTTTTGTGCTCAAACGGGGTGTAACTTAAACAATCTTTATAAAAATATAGAAAGTCAAATAACAATAGATAATATTTAACTTGAATTGTAAAAAAAAATATATACCTTTATCAAAATGAATAAGTTATAATAATGCCCTCAAATATTTTCAGGCTGCCATTGGCTATACGTTCCTGTCCTGGATCATCATGTGTCGCAAGAGTCGCACGGGTCTGAAGACCAAAGAGCACACTCGATTGGCCAGCGTGCGGTAGGTTTTATTTACAAATCCCTTAAAATATATAATATGCTAATGTGGTAACCCATTTCCGCCCGTAGTTTCGACATACGCTGCTCCTTTGTGTTCCTCTTGCTGCTGAGTGCCGTTTGGTGCTCCGCCTATTTCTACCTGCGTGGAGCCAAAATGGACGAGGACACGGCCGACGTGTATGGCTATTGCTTCATCTGCTTCAACACCTTGCTGGGGCTGTACATCTTCGTGTTCCACTGCATCCAGAACGAGAAGATCCGCAGGGAGTACCGCAAGTATGTGAGGCAGCACGCCTGGCTGCCCAAGTGCCTGCGCTGCTCGAAGACCTCCATTTCGTCGGGCATCGTGGCGGGCAACGGACCCACAGCCGCCGGCACACTTTGCAGTGTGTCCACCTCCAAGAAGCCCAAGCTGATGCCGCTGGGCGTGAGCGAGGAGGCCGACGATGATCCCCAGCAGCAACAGCAGGCGAGTGGGCCCATCACCGAGGACGCCATCATGGGAGCCAGCTCTGATTGTGAACTGAATGAAGCCCAGCAGCGGAGGACGCTGAAGAGTGGCCTGATGACGGGCACCCTGCAGGCACCATCGCATGTGGTCCTCGAAAGGGGCAGCACCCTGCGCTCCACTGGCCACGCCTCACCCACCAGTTCTGCCGGATCCACGCACCTGATCTTCGCCCACAAGCAACAACAACAGCAGCAGCACCAGCAGCAGCAACAACAAGCGGGTCCCCTGGGCGAGTCCTACTACCATCAACCGGACTACTACAGCTGGAAGCAGCCACCGACTGGAGCCGCAGGGGCATTGAAGGGTCAGCGGGAGTACTACAACAATGCAGGAGCAGCTGCCTCCTCGCCGCAGCAGGCGCACGAGGTCTTCTACTGGACCCAGAAGCCCAGCAGTCAGCATGGCAAAAAGAAGAGGGGAGGCGGTGCTGGCGGAGTGCCCGCCTCGCCCAGTGGATCGCTGCATAGTCGCACGGCCGCCGCCTCCCAGGTGCTCTTCTATCCGTCGTACAAGAAGACCAAGTCGGGCCAGCAGTCCGGCTATCCGCAATACGCGGAGGCATTGGATCCACCAACGCTGGCCACCGCTGGCAATGCGGCTGTCTACTACCAGCAGCAGCAGCAACAGTTGCGTCGCCAGCAGCAACAGCAGCTGCAGCAGCAGCAACAGCAACAACAGCAGCTCTCCTCGGATGAGGAACAGGCCGAGCAACATGCTCACCTGTTGCATCTGCAACGACGAGCCGGTGGCCAGCAACAACTGCCCGCTCCGCCGCCGCACATGGCGCAGTACCAGCAGGAGTTCATGCAGCGCCAGTATAGAAATAAGCATTCCAACTGTGATTTGGGCATGGGCGATGCCTACTACAACCAGGGCGGCGCGGATGGCGGTCCCGTCTACGAGGAGATCCTCAGCAACCGCAACTCGGATGTGCAGCACTACGAGGTGGGTGACTTCGATGTGGACGAGGTGTACAACAATAGCGTGGGCACCGGTGTCTTCAACAATATGCGAGCGGCGGTGGCCGCCGGCGGTAGTCGTTATGGCGGCGGCAGCCTCAGTGGCGGCAGTGTCTCGTCCAGGAGTCAACAACAACAACAGCAGCAGCAGCTCCAGAAGCAGCAACAGCAACAACAGTCGCTGGCCCAGCAGAGATCGGCTAGACGCTGCACGGCGGATGATGACGACGACGAGGACGACGACGACGAGGAGGAGGATGAGGAGGCAACGGCCGCGGAGCAATTGCACGACAGTGTCTGTGATGAGGATGAGGAGGAGGACGAGAGCGACTTGGAGGACGATGCTCATGGATTGCCACCACAGAGCGATGAGCGGATGCGTCGTCTGATGGCGATGCAGGACGAGGACTTTAAGCGGCGGTTTCAGTGAGTACTCATATCGCCTAAACTTTATCAACTCTGGAGGGGAGCTTAAAAAATCACTAGGTATTTGAAATCACTTCAAAAGGTGGCTAAAAGTATGCAATACACAGTACTCAAATCATTTTTAGTTTGGAGTTCCAATTGATTCCTTTTTCATTGCATACTTTTAGACGCCTTTATGAATTATTTCAAAACCCTAGTGATTTCTGTAAAAATTTATTTAAAAGGATTTTATACACCGTATGCAATATACATACTATACGCATAATTTTGAATCCGGAATTTCGACAACTCTATTGAATTCTTTCAAGTTTGACTGCTGGTATATTCAATCAACGTTTTAAAGTTGATTTGTTAAATAAAGCCATTGGAAGTTCCGCTTATTATTCCAAACTTATAAATGCTTGGGAGTTTATATACTTTTTTTTTTAAATCCATGTATGTATAGTATGTAAAAATATTTAACTATCTGACAATATATTATGAAAGTCGATTAAAACACAAATAATTTGAATACGAAAATTAAAAAGAGAAATAGTGTAAACTTTACAGGCTTTTTTAGCAAACTTTCTTTCGGTCTTAAAATGTCTTAAAAATTTTGGAACCTTTTTTTTTTAACTATTTCAGTCTTACTCAAACGTAAATAAAATTTTTTTTTTTTAATTTCAGTATTGATAAGTTAGCACTTTTATTTTTTACCATCTTGTATTTTAGTAGTTTTAAAAAAAAAAAAGTGGTAAATCTTTAATTTGTAAACTATTAAAGATATAATAATTTTAATCAAATAAATAATAGTTTTCAACAAATTAAGAACTAACATTCATGTATCTGTTTACCCTTTCAGACGTCAGCTGCGTAAGCATGGAGCGCCCTTGGACTACGGATCCTTGCCGCCGGGATCGGCGCCAGGATCAGGTCCGCACCCCGAGCACAACGGTGCGGTTTTTGGGGTTAGCGGCGGCGTTGGTGAGGGCTCCATGCGTGGCGCATTCCGGCAGCAGCAGCAACAGCCAATGAATGCCAAGTCGCCCGGCGCTCGTCTGGCGGTAAATGAGCTATTTGGTCACGGCAATGCCGGTCCACCGCTGCCGCCGGCCAATCAGACGCCCGCGCAGAAGCGTCAGCAGCTACAGAAATTGTCACCACAGTCCACCACATCATCGTCGTCGCATACATCACACACACACAGCAACCCCAATCCTCACCAGCTCACCCATCAGCATCCGCAGCCACATCCACATCTGCATCCCCCACACCATCAGCAGCGCCACCTGTCGGCCATGCTGGATGAGAACAACACGGTGCGATGTTATCTGGAACCACTGGCCAAGTGAGCCGGATAGCGTAGAACCTCCATCTCCGGAACGGAACGGAATGGAACGGAACAGTCTTAGGCAAAAATTGTAGCTTAGGATCTCTAGCTATACCTAGTATTAGTCGTTAGTCGAAATATGGAGCATTGTGTGAAACAACATGCTGTCATGCTATACGTGCAGTGATTCGAGAATCCCAAAACTTTATGAATGTATATGAGAATAACTATAGGCACACACCATCCATCCCAACCCATCCCATCCACCCACCCACACACACACACTCACGAAGCCGTGCAAGCTTAACCAAAATACGAGGGATATGAGGGATTACGTGGGAATTGGGTCCTTCGACTTGCATGCATTTTATACCAACTTGGAAATCGATATTAAATATAAATGTATGTACCATATATATGTAAAATGTATTGTAATACATGTCACCACATGCCATTTTTAAATACTTAAATGATAATTTAAACAAACAGAAAATCAAGTATATATATATATATATATGGATGTATATGTATAAGATCTGAGAACTGTATGTACATGATGATATATAGAATGCAGGCGAATTATGTTTTATGTATTTTGTAAGGAATCAATTGTTTTTGATTTTCGCTGATTATGCTCGTAAGATATATATATATACACACACACAGGCTTAAGATTTGTTTCGTGTTTCATAAACCAAAAAGAAGAAGAAAAACCTACGTTTCGAAGTTTTGTAATTTTTTGCTCTCCAACTGCCGATTTACACCTCTGAACCAAATATTCCTTCCAACTATGAAACAAGTGTAAAGACATGATTTCGAGGGAATTATAATGCCATTATAATTTGTTATTGCATTTCTTTTACGTTGTAAGCAAACCAGAGCGAAGCATTTGAAGTGAACATTTTCATCAATATAGCGGCTTTAAGCACACATTTAGGGGCATTTACTTTATATTTTCGGAAGAGAGTTCGTAGAATGCTTTATAATTTATACGATATAACGAGAGATTAAATAAAACGAATGCTATGAAAATGTCTTGAAAATTGCATTGCAGGCACCAAACCGAAACCGATAGAGCAGCATACGGAAATACCTATATAGCAAAGAAAGATTTCAACCGAACCTCACTTGTTAACTAGGAACTAACTGAAAACTCTAACTCTTTAAACACTAGCCAGCTAACATCCAAACACACACTAAACTGTACTATTCCTACTCCCTGAATGGCATTCTCCCTAGAATTTCACGCATGTGTACAAAAACCAAATAAAATAAAGTGCAAACAAAGATGATTACCATATATATAAATAATATATGTCGTACACAACAGGCCAATGAAGCTCCAGTGGCATCCGCCCCAGCTCGATCCCATTTGATCCGATCAGCAAGTTAAACTTGAAGGAATCCCCCATAGCACACAATCGATAAAGTTAGTAATTAAGCACCCGCAGCATACCACACGAGTTAGTGTATAAAAACGGAATGGAAAAACCAATTTGTGGCAAGAAATACGGAATGGCAGATATTGAATGTATAGTGTTGCGCCTCCTAGTACTTTACTTATAGTAAACCAGATATATCAGATACGAATATATATGTGAATGTATATTGATGAAGCAGTCCCCCTTTCGTCACCACATCCTCACCAAACCGATTCGAGAGATTAATAGATTTTGAGATCTGAAAACTAATCCGAAGACAAGACACCCAAATCAAACTTTATGGACAAGCCCGATGAAAATGTTAATGTACACAATTTTTTCTATTTAAGACAAAAATAAAAGAAATGGATTGCATTTTAATGTAAATGAAAGTTAAATGTTTTAATGGGTTATTGAGGTTGAAAACATGGGGTTCTTTATTTTGTACAAAAATTGTGGAAACCATTATTTGTTTTTTGAGATTATCTAAATTAAAATCTTCAAAAATTTGGTCCTTAACAAAAATGATGTATATAAAACGCTTGTTTCTTGTTGAAAACCTTTTAAATGTAATTAATTGTAAAAACATCATCATGCTTGGAAATATTCATTTACAATTCAAAGGAAAACGATTTTACCAGCAATTCCAATACATTACAAAGCTAATTCATTGGTCTGGCTATACCATTTAATCTTAGTATTAGGTTATATTTTTTAATCCTGATATTAGGTTATACCATTGTTTATTTATTTGTAGCAGTCTAAAAAGTAACGATTTTTTTTTAAATTCAATCTATTTATGTTTATCAAAATTGTTTTGCTACTGATGCGTGGTATTGTTCCGTTAAGACTATACGGTCACTCTGAACCATTAGTAATCCCTTTCGCTGGCAAAACAAATGTTTATTTCGTAGTTAACCAAGATGACGGATTTCCAATGGCCCTGGGAGTACACCTTCCCGCCCTTCTTCACGTGAGTAGTGCCCAGCAGGTGGCCCAGCACTTAGACAATGAGGAATAACCAGGGATTCAGTTTACAGCCCCACGAAGAAACCAGACAGCAGCAGCTGAAGGTCTGGACAGATCTCTTTCTCAAATACCTCAGGCACACGAATCGCTTTACGCTGAGCATCGGGGACCAGACCTCGCCGCTGTTCCATAACGAATCGCTGAAGCGCCGCCTCTCGCCGGAGCTCGTCCTGGCCATCCTGGCCGAGCTGGAGCGGACGGGCCATGCGAATCCGCTGGACAAACGCCGCCAGGAGTGGCAGGTGTACTGGCACACCCTCGAGGAGTACGGCACCATGGTCTACGACTGGGTGCAGGAAACGGGCCAGACGAACAGCATCTGCACGCTCTACGAGATCGCCTCCGGCGAGAACACCGCTGCACTGGAATTCCACGGCGTGGACGAGGCGGTGCTCCTCAGTGCCCTCCGCTTGCTGGAGCAGAAGGGCAGGTGCGAGCTCATCGAAATGGACGGCAGCCACGGCGTCAAGTTCTTCTAAATGTCCATACATATATCGTTTTGTTAACTCTGTCTCGTCCATACGATACGAATTGTGTTTCCGTATACTTGTATTAAAAACTAATCGAATGTAAAATTAATTTGTTATTAAACAGGTACACCGTCTACAGTTTCCGCGGTGCAGCTAAGAATATGAAAATCCGATGATTGGGGATATTTTTAACTACATATGTACATATGATATTTGGAATTATCTTAATATATTTCTTTGCTGAACAGTTCAATCGCAATATAATAAAAGTATCTGGCTTGAAATATGCCGTCAAAGTTGAATTCTCTAATTTTACGCAAATTATACGATCCCTAAGAGCCGCTAAAAAATATATGTTCAATGGAAATATTGTAATTTCTCTTGGAATCTACAGTCCTTGTTATGTTTTATATTCATTTTAAAAAGTATCCATAAGAACATATAATAATAGTTCCTATATACATCATTAGAAGTTATATTTTTTTGTTAATAGCAACTAATTTTTAAAAAATAGCATGTAATAAAGATAATCTTGACAACTTTAAAATCAAGTATTAATAACAATGGGCTCCAAATTAAACGAATTTGAACGTATTTCAAAATATAGTAGGACCGTATTTTTCACTCCATTCACAATAACGACAAACTGAGGTCGGCGATTCGCTAGTGAGAAACGGACGAGTTGGCAGCCCGGCCGCATATTTTGGTTTATCGCCGCAAAGAAAGTATATTTTATACACGAATTACAGAAAAATGGTAAGAGTAAGCGGACAAATAATATTTAATATTTAATGGGATCTTCGTAGAGCATGGACGACTTAATGCGGACGCTGGATTGGATGAATGTAGAAACAACACTGCAACACGCCGCCTTGGCGTCCGAGTCTTGCACCGGCAGGACTTTGGGCGCGGATCGGGAACCCTTGTGGGTGGAGGGCACTAAAAGTAGTCCAGTGGCAAACACAATACCAGAGGAGCTACCAGCTCCAAAGGAAGAGATTTCAGTCATCCCGAGGACCAATTGGGAGCCCAGTATTTCCTGCTTCCCCGATGCACAGGCCATCAACGCCAGCATTGTGAAGCGGGAACTGGTGGAGGAGGGCAAAAGGTGTGTCCGCCAGCAGCTGAAAGTCCTGAAGGACAGACAGGACGCCAGGCGCCTCTCCCGCGAGTCCCAGCAAAAGCAGGAGGAGCACCAGCTCCAGCAGAAGGCACTGCGGGAACGCAACGAAATCCTGCTCAACCAGAAGGCCGACCAGATGACCAAGGTCCAACTGGAGGCACAGCAGCGCGAGCAGTTGGCCCTGCGTCAACAGACTGACCAGAAGCTGCACAAGCTTGCCCTGGAGGGCGTGTCCCGCTGCCAAAGGAGATTCAACCAGAAGTACGAAGGCATCGCCCGGATACTGCTCTCCCTGGACAAGGAAACGGTCCAGGTGTGCTCCACCCAGAACACACAGCTCAAGGAGCTGGGCCAGAAATTCGAACAGCTCGTGAGCACGGTGAAAATGGGTAAGTGCGAGATGCAGAGCCAGTTTCTGTGCTCCATCATCAAGGCGGAGGAGTGCTGCAGGAGTCTGGATGCCTTGGAGTTGGACATTATCAAGCAGCTGGCCGAGTTCTCCGAGCAAATCCAGCAGCAACTCAAGCAGGAGGCGGACAAGAAGCTGGAGGAGGAGCGACAGAGGCAGCTGGCGGAGGAGGAGAAGGAGAAGCAGCGTCAGCAGAAGGAGGCGTCGGAGGCCAAGGCAAAGCAGCAGCAGGCCGAGGCTGCCAAGGCAGAACCGGTCCAAGTTCAAGCTGCGCCGGAGCCAAAAAGCCAAGACGTGCCCCCTGCCGCCGCCACTACAGCCGCCACTACAGCCTCTACTTGTGTCCACCCAGACCGACTTAAGTTCTACAACGACATCATCTCGCTGTATCAGTCGAAAGTGGATGCCGTGAAGCCGCTGCAAACGGAGGAGTCGCTGAAGCAGTACCGCACCGGCTGCCAGAGGGCCATCAACCTGCCCCTCAACGCCATCTCGGCAGTCAGTCCGCAGCATTTGGGCCAGAACTTTGACAAGCTGTACAGCTTCTTTGCCGGGCAGCCGGTTAAGGTGATGAATGGCTCTACGATTACGATTAACGACCACCCGCTTGCCCGCGACTATTGCATGCTGCTGATGGCCAAAAAGTTTGTTAGTCAATCGGAGACCGCCATCTCCAGCAATCCGCAGGCGGCGTTTCCCTTTGCCTCGGTGATCATTACGTTCTGGAAGCTGTTGCCCGACTTTGGCAAGATCTTCCTGGCCTACATGTACAAGGAGTCGCCCTTCCTGGTGCCCTATGTAATACCCCAACAGCAGGGACAGACCCCCGAGCAGTACTTGAAGACGATAGGCTATCGGCTGTCGGACAAAAACGAACTCGAGAAACCGGACATTTACCTGAAGCGCCAGACGGGAGTGGCCCGTCTCTATGCAGCTGTGATCATTACCCAAGGACGCAAGGCAGCCGGGCCGGATGAGTGTTTCGAGCTGAACGAAGGCTGGCTCTGGCTAGCTCATATGGTGAGAGTGAAGCCAATCCCCGACATCAGTGCCACCATGATCATGGAGATGCTGCAGACCCTCGGCTTCGAACTTTGGCGCTCCTACGGCAAGCAGTTCATGAAGCTACTGATTTACATCCAGAACATCTACATGCCCCAGCTGGCGGCCCATGACGAGGGCGGTCCAAAGACGCGGCTGGAAATGCTCCTGGCCAAGTTCCTGCGCGAGCGGCAGATTCCCCAGGCCATCGGTGTCTTGCCGCCAGGCTTTTGGTAGTTTTACGATTTAGTTATGTTGCGTTTAAATTTAAATATGTGTAATTTATAGAAAAGAAATTAAAGTTAATATTAAAGTTCTCATGAAGTGGTTTTAAGTAAATTCAATAGCAGCAATCGTTTGTCTGATATTACAAAAAATTTAAATCGTAATTCATTAACACTCCTCATGATGCTAATCAAGAATATACATTATGCGCTCAAAAATAACTCCTTTCCTGCGCTGCAAACTTTTGACTAAAGTTATAGTATATATAAAATCCAACAGATAGTAATTATATGAATATACAACGATCCATTTCCAGAAATGCAACAATTAAGAGCCACAACTTTATTTACTGAAAAGTAGCTAAAAGGCAGAAATCATTTTATGAACGCGTTTCAAACAAACCACACGGAACACGACTGCTAGTCGTCGTCCTCATCATCATCCTCCAGATCCAGGTCATCCAGTTCGCCGGCCAGATCAACAAAGAGATCCTTGTTGATGGGGGCAGCATCGTTGGCGGGTGCAGACGACGAAGGGCCATCCCCATCCTCGTCGGCCGCTGCGTCCTC